CTCAACGAGTCTTTTGCCGCTGAGGAGCTATCGGCCCTTGATGACCTGAACACGCCGAGAATTACGCGGATCTTGACCAACGATTTCCCGATGTACTTCGCCGTCGTGACGAGGGTTCGTCAAGAGGTGCATTGCGTCGGGCCTGAGGGAGGTGTCATCATGTCGACTGTTGTACCGAGGGTGCAGGCCATATTCCCGGATGGGTCGTTGACCAAGACGATCAAGGTTTCGCTACAGGTAAGGATGGGCGATCATGTGGTTAGAGTGCAGTTGACCCCCCCCCCCAGCCCTAACTTTTCAGCCCTACGTCCTATTAATGCGCCGAGTATCTCAAAATGTTCGCCGTGGTCGAATTATTATAAAAAAGATGTTTTCTTGCGGCGAAAATTACTAAAAAATTTTTTACAAGGTTTTGAAAGTTCTAAAGATTAAGCCGCTATGCTTCGATGTACTAGGAGTCTAAAACTCAAATATTTTTATTTTCCGCTATTTTTTTGGCTCAAACGTACTGTAGGCTTATTCTACAGAGCAAGAGCTACATTTTGGTACCATTGACAGCTCGGTACGTCAAAAAATAGCCGAGATACGAAAACTAACTTTGGAACAGCAAAAATTAACTAAAGAAAACCCAGACTTATAATTGTTATAAAAATTTTTCTAACAATTTTTGATGTAAGAAAACAACTTTTTTATAGTAATTCAACCACGGCGAACATTTTGAGATACTCGGCGCATTAATAGGACGTATGGCTGAAAAGTTACGGCTGGGGGGGAGGGGAGGGGGGGGGTAAACTGCACTCAAGCCGATCATGTTCAAGCAGTATAATGGTTCTTTAAAGCAATAGGCCTGTCGAAGTTGATCTACGACATCTCTGACAAGTTCGGACGAACCTACTGAGGTTCCTCTGAATTGTAGGGAATGTCACGGCAGATTCTACGAGTTCAGAAAAGCTACCTTTGGCTTTCCTGAACTTGTTGAATATGCCGTAGTCAATCTCTATTAAGTCGAACCAGTTCTGAAGGTTTTAATCTCCTATCTGAACTGACTGAATTCGTTGTACAACACCAACCCGTTCTTCCAGGCCCAGCCCGTCCCGCAGGAGATTGTCACCCGACTCCACGGCAACCGCGTCGCCGTCTCGCCCATCGTCACCGTCGAGCCGAGGCGCAGAAAGTTCCACAAGCCGATCACCCTCTGCATCCCGCTGCCGCACAGCAACAACAAGGTCAGTCAGTAGCCCCAGGTGGCCTCCTTGTAGTTGTTTGGCCCGAGAAATAGATATGTAAATTTCCTGCCAACATAGTTACATTTTTTTGTTGTCAGTCATTAGCTGTCAGCTGCCCTCCTTGAAGTTGTTGGCCGCGAGAAACATAAAATTCGTTTCAGGGAATGCTGACCCAATACTCCAGCCAACCGGGCCAAGAACCGCCCACGCTGCGGCTGTTGTGCTCCATCACCGGTGGTTCGGCGCCCGCCCAGTGGGAGGACATCACCGGCACGACGCAGCTGACCTTCACCGGAGATGAGGTGTCCTTCACGACCACCGTCTCGGCGAGGTTCTGGCTGATGGACTGCCAGACACCCAGGGATGCGGCCAGGATGGCACAGGAGGTGTACAACGAGGCCATCGCGATTCCGTACATGGCCAAGTTCGCCGTGTTCGCGAGGAGAACATTCCCGGTTGAGGGGCAACTACGGTGAGTTGAAGATGTTCAGCCGGATTTTTCTGGCCTGTTCTCTCACTCTCTCTCACTCTCTCTCGCTCTCACTCACTCTCTCTCTGTCGCTCTCATTATACTCCAACTTTCCAGCGTCTTCTGCATGACCGACGACAAGGAGGACAAGACGCTGGAGAAGCAAGAACACTTCAAGCTGATCGCCAAGTCGCGCGACGTCGAGGTCCTCAAGGGGAAACATCACTTCCTAGAGTTTGCCGGAAACCTGCTCCCCGTGGCGAAGAGCGGAGAACAACTCTCGCTCTACTTCCTCCCCTTCCAGGAGAATCGCCTCGCCTTCATGGTCAAGGTACGGTAGATGATCATGCTTTAAATGGACTGATTTAGACGCGAAATAAGGACGACGCTGAGGCCAGTACCGAGGGCAGAATCGCGTTTATGAAGGAGCCAAAGGTAATTTCGACATTTTCAAAATAGGCCTCAACTCCAACAAGTTCAAAGATTGTATCCTGAGAAAATTTTGTCGCTATGACTTTTGGAGACTGTAACAATAATAAGCATCAACCCCAACTTGTTCAGGTCCGCGCCGAGAATCTCCCAACCCAACAACCCATCTGCACCCTGTCGATCTCGCTGCCCGAGTACACCGGCGAGGAGCCCACCGCGCAGCCCCGCAAGGCTGAGACGCCCTTCGACCGAAAGTACCCGGGAGCCGTAGACCGCGAGCTGCCCGACTGGGTCCACCCCAACCTCCTCAAGCAGGTCGGCGGCGATTGGCAACGACTTGGCCGTGTTCTCGACATCCCCCATCGCGATATCCAGCACATCAAGCAGAACTACCCAGGGCGGGAGTTGCCCTCAACCCTCAAGATCTGGATCCACATGAAGAAGGAGGAGGCCAACCCGGAAGCCCTTGATCAAGCCTTACGGCAGATTGGACGTGACGACATCCCGCGTGGTATTGCTCATGGAGAACCGGAAGATTTGTCCACATACTCTGCGGCTAGCCCAGCAAATTCGAGATCGGACATCTACCAAAAAGTGGAGGTGCCCTCCCCGAGGAAGGAGAAGTATGAACGCCATGAAGTACACGAGGAACGGCTTGTCGCCCCCGTTGTTGCTCACTCCCAAGTGCAAGACGTGCCGGTGCACGCCGAGGTGGCCGAGGAGCGCAAGCGCAGCCCGATAAAGGAAGAGGAAGAGCATGAGCAAGAGGTATGGGCGACTTTTTAGTGTTTTTGACTGTATCTCAGAGTAGGATTGTCAGATTGGAGTGATTTTTATAGCATTCGAAAGCTTAGGAAACGGCGCGTTTTAATTTATAAATAAATTATTTTAATATAAATTTAATAGTTTTTGAGAATAGGAGTAATTTGAGATTAATAATTAGTAATAATTTTTTTTCGGAATCACTAAAATTCAAGTCCAAAACTGACTGATGAACAAGTAGACTGATCATCTACTTTCAGATCCCGGTCTCCGAGGTGCGTACAGTTGTCCGAACCGAGCGCCATGTCCACGACACCGATGACGGCCCAGTTGTTGAGGAGCGGACCATCACGACGACGTACGAGGATGACGTCGCTGTGGCGGAGAAGCGCGAGGACAAGATCGTCGAGCTGACCGAGGAAGAACGGTAAGGAGAACATCTACTAGAATCTGCTCCTGAACTCGCCGAGCTTATCCGCCATTTTCAGCCAAAAATGGGAAGAGCTACACGCCGGCGAGCCGGGCGAGGCGTTCACCGAGAGCGCCGAGGTGTACACCCGCGAGGAGCGGATCGACGAGGAGGAGGAGCCGCTGGATGGTGAGCAAGGCTGAAGAGTACAAGCACAATTTTGGGCAACTTCAGTAAGAAGTTTAGCGAGGCTATCTGCGGCTGATGGTTGTTGAACTTCTTGAATTAGGGGGATTGGAGGATAACTGGAGTTATATGCTTAGCAGAACGACTTTAAGAAGTTCAGAGCCAAAGAGCATACACGAAAAAATCTTTAAGAAATAAATCTGGACTTTCCCGAACTTGTCGAAGTCGGGGGAAATTTTTCGGGGAATTCCAGCAGCGAAATCGAGAACTCCAAGAAGTAGATGATACTCTAAAACCTTCTACTAAAGTCGAACCCGAAACCAGCAACGATAAAATCCCAAAGCCCCTCCCGAACTTACCGAAGTCGTTCGGCATTCTCTCCGACCTACCACGCACCCTTACCCTTTTCAGATGGCGATCAGAGCTCCGGAGACGAGCCGGCCTCGCTGCAAGGTAGCCACGCCCATTAATTATAGCCTCCGCTTTATCCCCCGTTTCCGCTTCATACTTAGGACTACGCCAGTTGCCTATTGACGCCCCACCCTGTCGCCTCACCTTTAAAAAGCCATAGTTCGATTTCTTTGGGGGACATTATTGTTAGTCAGCTCACCCACCCGCACACGCCTCGGTTATTTTCCTGCCCCTTTAAAAATGCACACTGCCGCCCCTAACCGCTACGCGACACGCGCGGCCGCTATCTCTCTCTCTCTCTCTCTCTCTCACTCTCTCGCCCGCCACTACGACACCATACGCTGCTTGTTTCCCCGCACTCCCAACTTACTGCCACTACTCTAGCCCCGCCCCCTCTGCCTAATTTGCATAAGCCCCGCCCCCGGATACCCCGCGCCTGAATTGTTTTTATTACGATTTTTTCTTCTTCCTGAATTTTTGCGCCCCCGAGTCCATCTCCATAATAAATGACACTATAAATATGCAAAGAGTTGTCGAGCGGAATTTTCAAGGTCGCAGAGTAAAAAGGAATTTTTGTGGTTCTACTGTAGTGTGGTGTGATGTGAGGCATGCTAATTGTATTTTAACGTTTCGTCGTTTTGTAACGTGGCTTAGGCTTAGGCTTCGCTTAGGCCAGGTTTTTGAGCTCCCCAGAAAACCGGAAAACCGGAAACCTACCTACCTACTGCCCGCTCGGGGACGGCAGCTGTTGTCTTCTTTGTTGTGGGCTGTGAGGTGGTGGTGTCAATAGGTTCCTAACGGACTAGTCGGGCCCTACGACCTTCACTACGCGACGATACTTTACCATACGGAAACACGAACTGCGGATTGCTGTGGAATCCTGGATTCTGGAGGGCAAAACGACGCCATTCTGACGCTAATTCTGGGCTTCCAGAAATTTTTCTGGATTTCTGAAGCTTCCCCTGAGCTTGCAAAGCCTCGTCTCAGCTCCTGAAGCTTCACCTGGGCTTATTAAGCTTAGCCCGACGTTCTGGAGCCGTTCAGGCTAACCCAATCTCTTACGAAACCAGAAGACTTCAGAATTATCTGCGCCATACTAACGTAAACTATGAACACTACGCAACGCTCCGATGACACTGATCATCTACCGAATCCTGAAGATCTGCTCCCCTCCACCTCATCCCCAGAATTCCGTGTGCATGACGTGAATGTTGTGATACCTTCAGATAAGCCCCACCAAACTAACCCACCCGAGCCTCAAAAAATCCTGTCTACAACCCAGGACGACCCGATACAACTTACGGACGACAACACCACCCCAGCTGACGATGCCCAGATCCCATTCCCCGCCTCAGCCCGGTCAATCCGGATCGATACTCTGGACAACGGGGGAAATGTGCTAGGCCACGCCCCCATCCCGGGCCCTTGTCCCGGCCCAGGTTCCCCAAAGGCCGAGCCGATCCTTGGCCGGCTTCTCCTATTCTTCACCGAGCTGAAGATGCACAACCCCAGCCGTCATCGCGAAGCCGTCGAGCGATTGAGGCAACTGGAGGAGGAGCTGCGGGAGTCGGGAGCTGTCTGTCCCCCAGATCCGGCTGTGGCGGATGCGGTGGCGCGAGCGCTGGCAGCTGCTGCACCCGGACATGACATTCAAATCCGGGTCAACCAGAGCCGACACACGACGACGACAAAGACGGTGTACGAGACGGAGACGCCGGGAATGGTCGGACTATCGCCGGATCACATCCGAAGCCTTCATCGGCAAATGTTGGACAGTCTCGGTTGGGCGTTGTGCTTGATTTTTGGTGTTTGTTTGTGGGTATGTCTGTGTGTCGGGTAATTACCGTATTTTCGCCTCGCATATGATCTTTTTAGACAGCTAGAAATTCAGTAGAAGTTTTACGCTTTTTCTGCGTTATTTTCCGGAATTTTCTCGCCAAAATTGATACAGTGACCCAATTTTTTGGCATTTTATTTATTTTTTTTTGCATTTGTCGTTATCTTTATATTTTTCAGCTAAGTAGGTAATTTTAAAATTATGCAAATTTTGTAGAAAATAGCTTTGTAATTTTTGGCAAAAACCCAGAAATTTTTTCATCTTTTTGGCCAACAGTGTGTGTGTCTTCTGTCTGTTAATCCTCATTCCGCTACGCTCCTAGCTACATCGTGCACTGTCGTAACGTATTGTGTGTCTAGGTGTAAGACGGAAAAATTACTCTGCGACCACAAAAATCTCACAAAAAAATTCCGCTCAATACACTTTGCAGTTTGGTGTTTTCAGGAGCTCTCATTAATGTGTAGTCCTATCATATTGATACGCTCCAATTAATGCGCGAGCGCATCGTTGAGGTACCTATAACTCCCATTAATGCGCTATATTCTCGTCTTGCTGCGTTCTCATTAGTGCGTATTCATAAGTACGATAGCATCCAAATCCTACCCAAACAATGCGTATCCAACGAAACTTCCGGTTCTTTCGCCTGGACACTCATCCCCCTGCCCCCCCCCCCCCTCCTTGCCAGTTTAAAGCGCCACGACAAGAGGCCAGCCGGCCGGTCCCCCCGGGCCAGCCATATCGATTTGCTGGCAGCCGGCCAAAATTAATGGGAGCACCGCTTAACTAAAAAAAAATAGATAATTAGATATCGGGATTAAATATAGATAGATATTAATCAATCGAAAATCGGAACTTAAGTTAATCCCATTTTTTTCAGTGACCGGCAATGGAAGCGACGCCCATGCGGAATCAGGTGGGTATTTGGTTATGTATCAGAACCTAAGCATCCGTCAAGCTAAGCTTAAGCTAAGCCTAAGCTAAGCCTAGGCTAAGCCTAAGCTAAGCCCAAGCTAAGCCTAAGCTAAGCCTAAGCTAAGCCTAAGCTAAGCCTAAGCTAAGCTTTAGGTTCTTCAGGTTGTATCGGTTGTATCAAACGCAAATTGGCGTTCTTCAGGCACTACCCAAAAGAAGGAGACGGCCGAGGAGGGCTTCACCGATGAAGACGGAGCCCTGGTTGTCAGCAAACGGATGACACGGCTTGTGACGACTACAAGAAGTGCACTACCTGGTGGGTTACGGTAGATCGGGCGCGTTATAGGGAGAATTTGGAGCGGGCAGGCTAGCAGAGAATCTTTGAGGAATTGGGAGAGGGAAGGCTAGTAGAGATTCTTTGGGAAGCGCTTTCATTTTAGTCAAATTCAGCGAATTGCATTAAGGAAGCACTTTTAAACAGCTATTACCATCTCTTTTGCAGGAGAAGCCGAGCCAGCACCTGGTGAGTAGACGGGCCATCATCTGCATCATCAGAAGATCATCCTGCCAAGCCATGCCCCCTTCGCCCAGCCTTCCCAATCCCTTTAAAACACTCAAAAAGACCCCAAATTTCCTGCAGGCTTATTTCGCGGAATAAGTGTCCCCCATGGAAATTGATCGAATTTGAAAAAAAGAGAAAAATGACAAGATGCCGGTCCTGCTCCCCGCCACTACTGATTGTTGTTGTGTTCGTGGCCACGCTTTATTCTCCCACCCAAACTATGCAAAGAAAAGAATAGCTGGTTACGGCAATGGTACGGTAGCGCCGATTTTGGGGTGTTTTTTAGCGAGAAAAAACTTGAGAAAATGACGACGAAAAGTGAATTTTCCAAGAAAAAACGAGAAATTTTTGTCTTAAATCTTTTACCTATCGTAATCGATCTAAAGCGAACATAACAACCATTTCCAACCTAAATTACACCCCAAATCCTAAAACCTGCCCCGGCCTTACCGTAACCCCACCCGATCACCCACCCTCCTCATTTCGTGTGTGTCGTCTATTAGTGTGCACCCTGTTGTGTTTTTCGTTTTCTGCTTTTTAGTTTATCTTTCCTTTTCTGTCCCCGCACCCACCAGAAAACCATGATTAACATGCCCTATTTTATGCGTGAATTTTTCCGTTTCCCCCCGATTATTTTCAGTTTTCGTTGTTGTGGTGTGTGTCACTTTTTAGTTTTTTCTTAGTTTTCGATGTTGGGCGTTGGAATGATGAAAATTATAATTTTTGGGATTGGAATTGACATAAAAATTAAAAAAAAATTGATTTTGAAGTAGCCAAAATTTTTTTCGAAATTTCAAGCCCATCATTGAAAACTTTCTATCAAAATATCTATTTCTCTATCCATAACAATCACCGGGAAATTTGTGAAAGTCGTGCTAGGAGCTAGGAGCTGGGAGCTGGGAGCTAGAAGCTAGAGCCGCAACGCAAGCGTGACACGCGTTTTAGCCCTTAGTTTTTTAGCTTTTAGCTCCCAGCTCTTGGTCTAAAGCTTACCTGGGAGTTGGGGGTCAGGTGCTCAGAAAGACCAAGAAGATAAAAACCGTGGCGCAACCGCGATGAAACTCGTCGCGGCATGCTTCTGTAGCTCCCAGATCCTAGCTCCCAGGTCCTAGCTCAGCTCCTACATCCCCGGTTCTCCCTTTTTGGCTGATGATGGTGGTGGTGCTTTGAACTTCTTACTTTTCCACGCTTCCTAAAACGTGACCCAGTTACCGTACCACCACCACCGCCAGCAGCATTGCCTTCTCCACTGCCGTACTGACCGAAATCAACAGCTTTAGTTTATCCCCTGTCGTCGTGTGTGTCTGCTTGGTTCCGTTTTACGCCTATATACGCCCTTATTTCCAAAAAATGAATCAGCAAAAAAGATGATTGAAAATTGTGAATTGCACACTGCACCGCTTCGCATCACACGCTGTCGTCATTTGGTGTAGTCTGTAGTCTGTGGTCTACAGTACCCACTCCCGGCATTACTACAAAAATACAGAGCGACACACGATGGTTATGGTAGATGAGATATAAATGCTGACACTGAAGATATAGACCATACAGTTATTACGACTCAAGCATCAGAAAAACTCAAAAATGGAGTCTATAGTTTATGGATTTTTGAAAAGTCTTTTAAAGTGTAGATTTTATAAATTTCGATTGAATTTAATAGCGTTATAAATGTTAACTTTTATTAGGCTTAAGTTCGGAAAGTCCAAAAAGTGCGTGTAGCGCTTTACGAAAATCCAGAATATACAAAGGTTACTAAATCCCAGTCCAGGAATAAAAATACTAGTCACTTCGAAATGAGAAATGTGCGAAAATAAGACTATGAAAACCTAAACTTTAATTTTAAAGGAACAGTGACACAAGTTTGGTCATTATAATCATGTCAGATTAGGCCTTTGGCTTACTTAAATCCGATCACCAGCTGCTGTCCAAGTCCCTTTAAATTTAACAACAGTCTATTAGTGCCATTTAGTATACAAGGACTGGTAAATCGCTGCTCGATGACCTATGGTATAGCTTTAACAAATTAAAAACGAGCTAGGAAAACACCATTGATTTTTTTGTTTTTAGTAAGTTTTAGTTGTTGGCAAGCTATCCGATCTAATTTAAAAGCACACTAGGCTTTTCAAAACCTATTCGATGAAATTTAGATTATTAAGCGTATTTAGAGGTATCTAAAGGATTCAAAATATATTGAGAATATTAAGTGGAGGTTAGGCCTAGGCCAAGTGCTCTTAAAAAAAGTAATCCTTAATTTTTTCCTTTCCCAGCACCAGTTAATCTATTTTGTTGTGTTGGGTATCGTTTTGGTTGAGGTACGATTGTAAAGGCATTCTTCCTTCTTTCGGAATGTGTAATAACTTCTTTGCATTAGTACTAATTTACGTTATGTAACGCTCGAAAAACCAAGCAAAAAATTACAAATTATAAAATAGAATTAATCGAAGAATGCATTAATGGAATCAGGTCAAAGACCGGGGGGCGTGGCTGGCAGGTGATTTTCGATCTAATAGTTATCTTAAAAAATCTAAAAGACGCTGATGTTTATCTTCTCGAATGGCGTCGAACCCACCGAGTTCGAGCTGACGTTTTTCCATGAAAAGCCCCTGCAACCCTGATTAACCTTAAATTTCCAGATTCACCTGTCGAATCGATGGGTTCGGTGAAGGATCGAATTGCCGCGTTCGAGTCGATCGCCCGTGATCAACCACCAACCCCGCCACGAGACGAACAAGCCGGCCATGCCCCAGTCGCCGCCCCACGCAGAACCTCCGCCGCAACCCATGAGACATCTGAGGAGGAGGTCGAGGAAGAGGATGAGCATGGCAATGTCCGGAAGGTCATCCGGAAGAAGCGCATCACGGAGAAGTACACGAGAACTGAATTCCACATCCCAAGAAGGGAGGGTGATGCTGAGGAGGAGCCGGAGGTCGAGCAATACCGACGCACGGCATCTGAACTATCTGGAGGTGAACATCGGCCCGCTGCAGCTAGCCGTCAGGAATCTGAAATTTCACGACGAGCTTCTGAAGCTGAACGACGCCTATCCGAAGATCAACAGCAACTCTCTCCGGCTAGCCGTCAAGCTTCTGAGGCGTCACGACGAGCGTCTGAAGCCGAACATCAGCCCTTCCCTGTCCCAGCTAGCCGTCAAGATTCAGAAGCATCACGACGTGCTTCTCAAGCTGAAGGACGTTTATCTGAAGCTGAACACCAACCTCTGCCAGCCAGCCGTCAAGCTTCTGAAGCCTCAAGACGAGCTTCCGAAGCCGAAACCCCAGCCAGCCGAGCCTCCACCCAGCTCTCAGAAACCAGACCAGAATCCCCAGAAGATGAACATCTCCGACGCTCCATGGCCGAATCCCATGCTAGCCAATATTCTGAGAAGAGCCGCCCCTCCGACGCCAAGCCCGAATCCCCGGAACTCTCCAGGAGAACATCAGCCTCCAAGGCCGAGTCCTGGGTCAGCGAGGAGAAGGAGACCGAAAAGCCCGAATTCACCGGGGTCGAACCCGCCGAAGTGCACGCCCGGCGGCCGTCCGTTGAGGAAGCAACAAAGAGCGTGGAAGAAGTTGTTGCTCAAGCCTCTGCCCCGATTGAGTCTTCGGAGGAGGAGGTCGAAGAGGAGGACGAGCATGGCAACGTTCGGAGAGTAATCAGGAAGAAGCGCATCATGGAGAAGTACACCAGGACTGAATTCCACATCCCCAGAAGGGAAGGTGAGGCTGAGGACGAGCCGGAAGCAGTGACACGTCCTGAATCCGTGGAGCAACATGCGCGTACGGAATCTGAAAATGAGGGTGAACATCGACCTACTCCGGCTAGTCGTCAGGATTCTGAAGCATCACGACGCGCTCATGAAGCTGAACATCACCTGTCTGAGGATGAACACCGACCCTCTCCAGCCCCAGCCAGTCGCCAAGCCTCTGAAGCCTCACGACGTGCTTCCGAAGCGGAAAGCCACACTTCTGGAACTCATGCCCCGGAAGCTGAAACTCAAAAAGAACGACGAGATTCTGAAGCGTCATCTAGAGATCAGAAGCTTGTTGAACATCCCCACCATCTAGAAGATGTTCAAGAAAAGCCTGATCGTCCCGCCGAGCTGTCCTACACTGCTGAAGCCCCGAAAGATATCGAAACCCCAATGCTCGAAGCTAGCCCGGAAACTCAGCAATATGAGGACGAGATCAAGAAGGCCGAGATCCGCACGACTCCACCAAGCGCCCACTCCCCAATCGGATCCTCGGAAGAGGAGGTCGAGGAAGAGGACGAGCACGGAAACATCAGACGGGTACGACGGCACATTAAGGAGACACACACGCGCACCGAGTACCACATCGAGAGCCGTGAAGAACCGGCCGAACATCTTGAGGAAGTACAAGATCACTCGAAGGCCGCTGAACTTCATCGGCATGAGGAGCCGCTGGCCGTGGAAACGGACGAGCCGGTGAAGACGGCCGAGCTCAGAAGTACTCCCCCAGGGAAGCGATCGCCCATCGATTCTGATGAAGAAGGGTTCGGAGACAAGGTGAAGAAGGCCGGGATGGTGGTCGGAGGGATTGTGGCTGCACCTGTTGCTCTCGCTGCCTACGGGGTCAAGGAAGCATATGATAGGTTGAAGGGCGACAAGGAGGAGAAAGAGGAGCACGTGCATGTGGTTGAACAGCCTGAAGAGGCCCGATATCACGAGGAGCATCAGGAAGTCGAGGAAAGCCCACGCCAAAGAAGTTCAATGGCTGAGAGCGATGCGTCAATGACTAGAAGCCACGAGCAGGAGTCGTTCGCTAGAAGCCAGATGGAATCACCGGAAGCAGAAGCGGCTCAAAGCTCGGCGTACAGCTTGGAGACCGAAGAAGTACATCACCACGAAGCACCACAGGTTGAAGCCGAACACCAAGGACGCATCCTCCCCGCGACCGATGAGGAACTTCGCTACGAGTACGAGCAGTACCACCCCTACTCAGACAGCCCGGCGAGGCAAGAGCAGATCAGCTACGAACCGACCGAATTTGATGCCGAAGAACAAGCCGTTCATGAACACGATGAGCATCAACTCCCGGTCCACGACGCACAACACGAAGAAGTTCAGCAACAAAAGGTTGAGCACGCTGAATCGCCTATTGATAAGGCGCCGTCTGGAGATGAAGCCAATGTCCCGGAAGCGCAACTTGGAGACGAACAACCCCAAATGGTCGACGAGGAACTGCGCTACGAGTACGAGCAGTACCATCATTACGAGCCCGAAAGCCCGCAACAGTTCAAGGAAGAACACGCCGGAGCATCAGAAGATGAACATCGAGTTGAACCTGAAAAAACGGAAGTGGGAGAAGAACACCATCACGAAGAATATGAAGAAGTTCTAAGCCCCGGCGAAGAGCTCGAACGGACCCAGGAGCTCGAGACGGTACGACCAGCATCGCCGGCTCAAGAAGAGGAGCACCCTCAACAAGTCGTAGACGACGAGCTGCGCTACGAGTATGAGCAGTACCATCCATACCCCGAAGCTGATCAAGCATCCCAACAAGCTGAGCACTACCTCGAGGAATACTCTCCCCGCCGAGAAGATATTCCCATCATCCGCCAACGCTCACCAACCCCAGAGGAGCCTGAACTCCCCGAAGACACCGCCAGCGTGAAAAGCCTGAGCTCGCAAGTTGGAATCCAGGAAGAAGAGCAGGCTTCTGAAGCTCAGCCTGTTGCTGGAACTGAGCAGCCAGAAGAGGTTGTCTATCTCAAGGAGGTCGTTGAGGAGCCGGTGGATCAAGAGGTTCCGGAGGAATCGGCAAGCGTCAAAAGCCTGAACTCACAGGTTGAAGACGTCGAGCCTATCGTAGAGCACGAAGAAACTTCTCACACCTTTGAACAACCAGAAGAGATTGTGTATCTCAAGGAGGTTGAAGCGGAAGTTGAAGAGCAGCCAGCATCTCCTCAATCTGTGATGGATTCGGAGGAAGAAGCACATGAAGCTCCCACCAGCCAAGAAACCCGGAAACCGTCTGCGCCAGAATTCGAAGCTGACTTCGAGACTTCTAAAGGAGAAGTTCCGGATTCTGAAGCTGGGAAGCACCATGAGCAAGAACCGGAAGTAGTCGAAAGCCAAATTGTGAGAGACATCCACACCGAGCGGGTAACTACCCACCCCGATGGTTCTCAGACGCATGAAGAATTGTGGACACATTCTACTCCAGAAGGTACCACTCAAAAGTATGAAGTTCATGAAGAAGAAGGAGAAGAAGAGAAACGAGACCTGGGAGATAAACTGCTTGGTTTCGCGAAGAAGGCTGGAATGGTGGCTGGAGGAGTTATTGCAGCTCCTGTTGCTCTCGCTGCAATTGGAGCAAAAGAAGCTTATGATCGTTTGAAGGGAGATGGTGAAAAGGAGGAAGAACATCAACTTGAAGGAGTACAGTCACAAGCTGAGACTCCGGAAGTTGAGAAGGAGAGCCCTGTCATCCATTCGGAAGATTATGGAGTGGAGCAACACTATGAGAAAGAACCACGATTTGAAGAAGCTGAAGGAGCGCATGTCGAGCATCACGAGGAAGTTCACCACAAAGCCGAGACTCCTGAAGTTGAGCAGCACCATCCCGAAGAGAGGAGAACTTCTGAAAGCTCTGTAGTTCACTCTGAGGCCTATGAAACCGAACATCACTTCGACCAAGAGCTAAGGTTCGAAGAGCCCGAAGGAGCTCACGGCGACCATCACGAAGATGTTCAATTACAAGCCCCAACTCCGGAGGGTGATTACGAGTACCAAGAACCTGAACCTGATGCGACATCACCCATTCCCTCTGGCGAGGAGAAGAGAAATGAAGCTTCGGAGCAGGATCAGACTCCCTCTGAAGTCTATTCAGAAGAGCACCGTCGTGAATCTAACACATCTGAGCGCTTTGCCGTACACCCTGAAGTTGCCGAGGCCGCTGCAGAAGCCGAATTCCCGGCATCACCAAGAAGTTCGCTGGCCGGTGAAGAACATCATGTTCAATCCGCGGAGTATGAGCGAGAGGTTCCATCTGAAGTTGATGCTGAACATGTGGAGCATCGTGAACTCCATGAAGAAACTCCTGCTAGTCCGGCGACGGAAACGGAAAGGAAGTCGTCGGCTTACGAGGAGGACGAAGATATTCAAGCGTCCCCGGCAATTGAAGTCACTCAATTCGAGGAGGAGAAGTCGAAGGAGTACTACGTCGATCCGGAAGTGCCCGACTTTGGGCCTTATGGGGAACCTGTGGATGGATATCCGGCGACGGAGAGAAGTGCACAAGTTGCACCACATCAAGAAGCTCATGAGATCGCTGAAGCTCATCCTGAACTTGACGAACACGCTGATGAGCCCCTACCGGAAGCCCATCCGGCAGAATCCGTACCGCAGACACCAACCAGCCCGTTTGAAGCTGATCGGTCGTCTCCAATTGTCGAGAGCCAGGGCAACTTCGTAGAGAAGGAGACATACCCGGATGAGCACTACGAGTACGAGACGTACCGCCCGCCAACAGGGGGATATGAAGCTCAGGCTCAAGAGCATCAACAACCCGAGACCCCGCTTTCCGAAAGATCCGTACAGGGTTCCCACCACGACACCAAACGCTCCTCGATCGCGGAAGCATCAGAGAAGCTGGTGGCTGAGGTCCTAGATGACGCAGAGGCGGAAGCAATCGAAGAAAGCTATCAAGAGCGAGAATACCGGGATCACGAAGAACCACCCCAAGAACAGTTCGAAGGGGTACCGGCCAGAAGGAAGTCCGAGGTACAGCACGAATCCTTTGACGAAAGCCGGGATGCTGAGCAACAGCAATATCAGCACGATGTCATTCACGAATCCCCGGAAGTCGAAGCTTTTGAGGAGCATGGGCACGAAGTTCCTGCAAGCCCCAAAGAGGTTGCGGAGCCAGAAACCCCGATCGTCGAGAGCCAAGTAGTTAGGGACATCCACACCGAGAGGGTGACGACCCACCCAGATGGCTCTCAGACTCATGAAGAAATGTGGACACATTCTACTCCAGAAGGTACCACTCAAAAGTATGAAGTTCACGAAGAAGAAGGAGAAGAAGAGAAACGAGACCTTGGTGATAAACTGCTTGGTTTCGCGAAAAAGGCTGGAATGGTGGCTGGAGGAGTTATTGCAGCCCCTGTTGCTCTCGCTGCAATTGGAGCAAAAGAAGCGTATGATAGGCTGAAAGGAGATGGGGAGAAGGAGGATGAACATCATCATGAAGGAGTACAGCCACAAGCTGAGACTCTGGAAGTTGAAAAGGAGAGCCCTGTAATCCATTCGGAAGATTATGGAGTGGAGCAACACCAAGAGAAAGAACCACGCTTTGAAGAAGATGAAGGAGCGCATGTCGAGCATCACGAAGAAGTTCACCACAAAGCTGAAACTCCTGAAGCTGAGCAGCATCATCCTGAAGAACGGAGAACTTCTGAAAGCCCTGTCGTTCATTCTGAAGCCTATGAAACCGAGCATCACTACGATCAGGAGCCAAGGTTTGAAGAGCCCGAAAGAGCGCACGGCGAGCATCACGAAGATGTTCATCTACAAGCGCCAACTCCAGAAGATGAGCCGCAGTACGCTCAAGAAAAGAGAAAGTCGGAAAGCTCCATTCACTCTGAAACGTATGAAACTCAACGTCACCAGGGTCAAGAACCAAGATTCGAGACTGAAGACGTGATGGAACGCGAAAGTCAGCGTTCTGGAAGTCTTGAAGAAGTTCACCAAGAGGAAGAAACCCGTCAACAAACTCCCGCAAGATCGTCGATTGCTGAAAGCCCGATCCAAAGTGAGCATGAGGTGGTTCCAGAACACCTGCAGCTTGGAGAACGAGAGCATGAAGTTGAACAGCCACAACCTACACCATCTGAAAGTGGCTTAGAGCCGGCGGAAACTGCGGCAAGAGGCGACTCTCCCGTTACTCAACGACACGAAGCAGCATATGATCATCATGAAGAGCCAACCTTCGTGCAGGAATCAGCCCTACAAGAAGCACACGACGTCCACCCCGAACACTTTGAAGCTCAACTGGCCCAGAGCCAAGTTGAGAAAGCGGTTCTCGAAGCCCAACCACCCAGCTATGAAGAGAGCGAACGACTTGAAGACGTCGCCAGCGCCCCGACGACACCACGGAGCACCGATCTCCATGCAATGGAGGAGAGCAAGTATCAGACTTATGAAGACTTGTCGAGAACGTCGGATGAGGAGGGTGAGCGGGAGGATGCTGATGCGATTGAGCAAGAGGGAAAGCCACCGACCTACGAAGAATCCGAGGCGACGCACGACACCGAACCGGTGCAGGTCAGAGTGGAAGCCGTAGAGCCCGAACCCGAATCGCAGTTCGAAGAGGAGGACCGGAACTTTGGAGCTGAGACGAGAACACCACCTGCCAGCCCGGTACCGGAGTACGATGCGCCGGTCATTGAGAGCGAGGAGTACCAGCTTGAGCAGTATCAGCCAGAAGCTGAAGCTGACTTTGAACGAGCCATCTCCCCGGCTGACAGCTATGAAATGGCAAAGCAAGCCCGGGAAGCTGATGAGCAACGAGGGCAGGAGAGCCCAAAGTCCACAGACTCGAGGGTCGAATTTGAGGCTGATGTCAAGGCTGAAGTCCACTCGACGGCAGGCAGCCCGATCTCCCAGGGAGATGCGGCTGAACGGGTTGAAGTCGGTGATCAAGTTTATCAGCGACCTACCTCTCCGGCCGACAGCTTTGAGATGGAGGAAGAACAAAGGGAGCTCGGCAAGCAGTCGGATGAGGAGAGCCCGAGGTCAACGGACTCGAGGGTCGAGTATGGCGTTGAAGAGGAGCATCAACGTGAGGAACTTGCTTCAAGGAGTCCTGAAGTCGCTGGTTTTGAAGTCCAGGAACATGAGGACGCACCGAGTCCAGCTGCTGCTCAAAGTGAGACTGAGAATCGGCCAGAATCCCCGATCGTCGAGAGCCAAGTCGTAAAGGACATCCACACCGAGAGGGTAACTACCCACCCAGATGGATCTGTGACTCATGAAGAAATGTGGAGACACACGACCCCAGAAGGTACCACCGAACGATATGAAGTTCACGAAGAAGAAGCAGAAGAACACAAACAAGATCTTGGTGATAAACTGCTTGGTTTCGCGAAAAAGGCTGGAATGGTGGCTGGAGGAGTTATTGCAGCTCCTGTAGCTCTAGCTGCAATTGGAGCAAAAGAAGCTTATGATCGGTTGAAGGGAGATGGGGAGAAGGAGGATGAACATCATCTTGAAGGAGTACAGTCACAAGCTGAGACTCCGGAAGTTGAGAAGGAGAGCCCTGTCATCCATTCGGAAGATTATGGAGTGGAGCAACACTATGAGAAAGAACCACGATTTGAAGAATCCGAGGAAGCACACACCCATCATCACGAAGAAGTTCATCACAAAGCTGAAACTCCTGAAGCTGAGCAACATCATCCTGAAGAAAGGAGAACTTCTGGAAGCCCTGACGTTCATTCTGAAGCCTATGAAACCGAGCATCACTACGATCAAGAGCCAAGATTCGATGAGGCTGAAGGAGCCTACGGCGAACATCAGGAAGAAGTTCCCCACAAAGCCGAGACCCCTGAACTTGAGCAGCAACATCCTGAGGAGAGGAGGGCTTCTGGAAGCTCTGTCGTACATTCTGAGGTTTATGAAGCGCAACATCAATACGATCAAGAGCCAAGATTCGAGTCCCAAGAAGTTTACTCTGAACATCACGACCTATCGTCGCAAGAACCGCACATTGAGCACGAACATCGCCATGTCGTTGAAAGTGAGGAATACCAATTTGAGCATGAGGCAAAACACGAAACTACCGAGTCCCCTAGCCACCACCAGGAGCGATCCATTGAGGAGACGAGGCCCCGCCTCCATCGCCCGGACTCACTTGACGTCGAACCGCTAGAAGTCCAGGAAGAGCGTGACGTTGGTGAACTCCTTCGGGAGCACGAGCCTCCCACAACCCCATCTGTGGAAGAGGTGTCGATGCCAGGAGAGGAAGCGGCTGTTATCGAATCCCATGGATATGATGCTGGACTGGATGAAGAATCGCACCCTGAGTCTCCAGAAAGTGAGGCCGACCTTGGCGGTCATGCCGAAGAGGGACGCTCGCCTTCGGTAGATGAACATCATCGTGAAGTTCATGAAGCTGCTCCTGCCTCTCCGTTGGCCGGCAGTCCGAAGCCAGAGGAGCAATTGTACCACGTGGAGCAAGAGAGGAGGATTGGGTTTGATCACGTTCAAGAGGAGTCTGAACGCTTTGAAGAATCACATCTGACCGACACGCATGTAAATGAGCATCATCTACGCCAGGAACGTGAAGCTGGGGTTGAGGAGCACCAGGAAAGACCTGAATCTCCTGTCGAATCTGACAAACCCTCTGTACTTCATGAGGAAGAACATCATCTGCGCCAAGAACGTGAAGTTGGTTTTGAAGAGCATCAGCAGAGACCTGAGTTTTTGGCCGACTCCGACAACCACTCCCAACGCCACGAAGAGCCTCAGCTCGAATCCCCAGCCACTAGCGGTCCGCAATCAAGAACTTCTGGAAGAGCCGAAAGCATCGAGTCGCCTGCGCAAAGGACCTCACGCCCGGATTCAGGCTCCGAATTCCGCCAGGAGTTTGACAGTGAGCAATATCAGCTTGAACACCCAGAGGAGGCGAAATACCATCAGCATGAGATGGAGCCGGAATCTTCAGGGCAGACCCAGGAAAGAGAGGATGCGTTTGATGAAGCCCAACACTATGAGAAACCGACTGAAGTCCATGGACAACATTTGCGTCATGAGAGCGTCGGCGGCTTTGTGGTGAGCGAGGAGAGGCCGGATGAGGCTGAACGACAAAGCTCACGCGTTTCTGAAGATTATCCGGAAGCTGGAAGCCGAAAGGATTCTCATACTTCACAACCAGCTGGATACTTCGCCGAAAGTCCGATCATACATTCCGACGAGTACAGGGTTGATGATGATGTCCAAGCCGTGGCTGAAGATCAACCGTATTCAGAATCCCCACGTCGGGAGTCAATCTCAGCACTTTCTGAAGAGGAAAAAGCATCCTCCCCGCAACCATTTGAACACCACGAGCACGTCGAGCATACTCCAGAATCTGCCAGAATCTCCCACGAGGAACAGATAGTCGAATCTGAACAAGCCCAAAGCCCCGGAGACGGCTACATCATCCCCAGCGACGACTACGAGGCGTATGAAGAGCGTACACAGAGCCCGGTCACTACGTTGCACGAGATTCGCGAGGAGTCCATGGAAGAACACGATGAAGCTCACTTTGACGAGCCGGCTCGCCCATCAATTCCGTTGTCCGAATCCCCAGAGGAGCTTGAGAAGATCGAGCTCCATTCCTCGCCAAAAACGGAAGGATATGCTCACTTTATTGAGGAGAAGCCACTCGCCCAAGAGGTTCAGGAACAAGAAGAACGTGTAGAACATTCAGTCCCTGAGACCAAGGACCCAGAGTTCTATCAAGAGCAAGCCACCCACAAGCCCGACTCAGAATCCGAGGGAGAAGAGCTTGAACATCGCGAGGGTGAGGCCTTCATCGGCGAGTACAAGTCGGAGAAGAAGGGGCTCGGCTCGAAGGTGTTGGGCTTTGCCAAGAAGGCCGGCATGGTGGCTGGAGGTGTAGTTGCTGCGCCGGTGGCCCTAGCTGCATACGGCGTCAAGGGAGCTGTGGAGTCACTTCAGAGGAGAGGCTCCAAGGGAGAGTATCAAGCTGTGGCCACGGAAGACCCAGAATATCTGGTCCATTCCGAATCTTACAGCCCGGCTGAGGAGGAGCGGACAAACTTTGAGCGCGAAGACTTGGCAGAAGAGACCGCGGGACGTCAATATTCTGATGAGACGTTTGAGGAAGAACATCGAAAAGTAGAAGAGCAAGAACCTACTCAAGAACAAGCCCGACTCGAACCAATGCAAGAAGAAACCGCCACGATCCGTGCATCCGAAAAACCGCACGTCATCCAGTCGGAGAGCTATGAACATGAGGAGCAGTTCGAGGCCCCGAAAGACGAGTACGTCATCCATACCGAAGAACACCACCAAGAAGCTGATCAGCACCCTGAAGATAGCTTTGAACAAGTTGAAGCCGAGAGAGAAGAAAAACCGGCGTCCCCAGCGGTTGAAGATCACCAGAACTCCCATCTAATCCAGTCCGACGAGTACGAGCTGGTCGAGGGCCAACCCGAAGAACAGCACCTCGACGTCGACGAGTACGAAATTGTTCACAGCCCAGAAGAACGAGAAGATGTGCCCCCCGCATCGCCTGGCAAGCAATCCGAGCACGCATCATCACCCGAAGATGACCATAGAGCGATTGCTGGCGATGAGGAGGCCGAGATTGACGAGATCTCGCTGCGGCTGGCCGTCGAAGCGGTCGGCCAGGCGGCACATCAACTGTCTGAGCAGATGACGTTGGAGGTGACACCGAGGAGCCCGACAGTCACAGACCGTTCGAATGTCGATTCGGAGAATATTAGCATGGATCAGAGAGGGATCGAGGAGGAGGAGAAGTCGAGCTTTGAGGAGCACCAACAATCTCCGACGGCTCCGTCAAGCACTGAAAGATCAGTCATTGAATCTGAGGCCTACCGTGGGCGTGATTATGAAACCGAAGAGCCTGAATCTCAGGAAGGGACCTATCGAGACACCGAGGCACGATATGAATCAGACGAGAAAGTGCTGCAACACGAGGAGACCCCGACGACACCACCGAGTACGGATCGGGATCGTTTTGGGGATTATGTCACGGAGGAACAGACGCACCGGGATTCTGAAGTGAAGGTCACTGAAGAACAAGCCACCCCTTCAACCCCATCAAGTGCTGTCATCGAATCAGAATCCTACGATCGCCCGGAAGAACCCCCTCAAGACGATGAAGACGACGAATACGACGCTGTAAGCCCGGTACCATCTTCGGCCCGATCTCAAAAACAGCTCCTGAAGCAAGAATCCTGGTATGAGAAAGCCGTGGAGCCTGAGGTCGACTACCAATCCGACCTCCAAGAAAAGCTCGACATCCTCGCGGCACAGAATCGCGAAGAACTACCGGGACCCGATGAGGAGGACAACATCAGGGAGGAGGACGACCGCACAATCCCCAGCGAGGAATCGCTGAACAGAATGGCCTCCGATATGGTGCGAAACGTGTTGGAGACGGTGGAAGAGGAGACCCATCAACATTCCGATGAATATGGAGACTATCAGATGATTGGGCACCCGGGGGTTCATACTCTGAGGACGACGATTGACATCATCTCGGACTCGGCGCGAACCACTCCCGATGTGGCACTGCGGTATGGAGATGATCGTGAGGAGACACCGCCTTCGGCTAACGCTTCAGGAATGTTGTACATACCCGAAGCGGACCCGGGAAGACCTGTATCCCCCATCCCACCCACCCGCACCGACTCCGGGCTTCTCATTGGCCTCAAACAACCCGAGGACACCATCGTCTTCGAGCAGTGCATGACGCCCGACATTCTCGAGCAGCCCAGCAGCGTCAACCCGTTGTTGAAGAAGGCCATGGTCGAGTCGATCCAGCTCAAGGGTCTCGAGATCCCCAAGAAGGTCGAGGCAACTTTTGAGGAGAAGGAGCAACAGCAGCAGCTCGAGTCTCCAAAGCAAGAAGAGAGATACCAGTGGTCTTCCGAATCCCTTGATCACGGCTCAGTGAAGAGCCACGGCAGCAGCGCCGGCAAGCGGTACAGCACGTCGAGGAGGAGCAGTGGAGAGCTCTCTTCTCAACCGGCTGACGCTTCGCCGCACGAGCGGCGTGACTTTGGAGAGGAGCCGGAGCACATCGCCAGGGAAGTAGTCGAGACCGAGGAGTATCAAGTGGTCGAGACTATTGAGGATCCATCCGAGGAGGGCTTTGATTATCCGCATGACGAACCTGTCGATCCCGAGCTAGAGACAGTAGAGGAAGAGCCGGAAGACAACGACTCGCTCAACGGCAGTGGATCATCAAGTGCTGGCCAGCCCGTCTCACTCGCCTCACTCGCCCGCTACAAGCACACCTCATCCGACAACGTCTCCGAGTCGAGCCTGCAAGAGTTTGAGCGCATCGAGAAGATGGTCAAGGGTGAGGGCAGCCTCACCGGAAGTGACATCGAACTAGCCACCGGTGGAAATGGAGCCCTGCTCAAGTCGGGCCAGGGCTCGCTCAGCTCGCTGGCCGAGTTCGAGCGGATCGAGGCCGAGATCGCGAAGGAGGCACCCGAGCAGGACGAGGCGATGATGCTCTCAGATATTAGGGAAGAGAGCGAGGCCGAGGATATGAGCGTTCGGGATACGGATGATGAGGATCATGACCAGCATACGGATCTGAGGGTGGTGCCGATTCGTGAGGAGCCAGAAGATCGGGCGGATACGCCGACGGGTGTTTCGCCGGCGGACAGTATCGAGCATGTGCATTTGGAGGCTGAGGGACCAACGGTAAGTGGTAGATGAGGGGTATTGGTAGAGGGGAATGGTCTCGGCGACAGCGACCTGGTCGACACTGTTTGTGACCTCGTCGACGTTGTCGGTTACTTTTACGACGCCATTGCTGACCTGGTCGGTGTCGCCAGTGACCTTGCCCGTGTCGGCGGTGACTTTGTCGACATTTCAATGAACTCGTCGGCGTTTATGCTTTCGATCCCTAAATCAGCTACCTAAACACCTTGAGTTCCAGGTCGACGCCCGTATCATGGAGGCGAGCACCGACTCGTTGGAACCGTCGGGCCGCCCGGTGCAGATCGTCGAGCCGCGCATGCTGGAGAGCATGGAGGAGACTTCTTTGGATGAGTATGAGGTGGGTCGAGAGTGATGGCTCAGAAAATGCAAGAAAAATCGAAACTCTCAAATTCTTCTAGGTGATCGAGAGGATGGAGGTCTCGACGCACGACTCGCTGGAGAATCTTCCTCACGACCGAGACAGTCTTCTGGAGGGGGCCAGTCAGGAGGTGGTCACCAGCCAGGAGGCGCCTGGACTCAGCGGGGATACGGTTGGGACGTATCAGGTACGTATTGGGCTGATATGGAGGTAGACCCGATGTGGCGGCCCGGCCCGCCGCGTTCCCGATTTTCTGCGTCGCGACTCGCCGTGTCGCTTCGCGGTTTTCTAGGTCGCTTCGCGTTCTCCTAAGTCGCTTCGCGGCTTACTTAGCTACGCGCGGGCAGCGCCGCTGCTGGCGGTTGAGCATTGCGGTGAAGCCTCGCGGATCGTTTTTCCCTCGCGCTTCGCGGTTTATTTAGTTACTTCACGGCTAGCTATTAAGAATTTTCGCCTACTCTGCTGCGTTGCGTCTCGTGGTTTTTCCACAGCGTTGCGGTTTGCGGGGTTGCGTTGCGACTCGCGGTTAAGAATTTTCAAGAGCTTTGTTGCGTTGCGGCCCGCGACTTGGTGAATGCTCTGATGCATCACGCCGTGCTCGCTTCGAATTTCAAAATAGACTCCCCAACTTCCATTGCACCTCTTGCTCACCACAAAAACTTTCTAGGAGCACACCGACGAGGACAAGGACTCCCTTGCTGGAGATATGGACAACGTTGTCTCGTCGTACTCCAAAACACTGACGATCTTTGAAACAACACAGGTGAGTAGCATAGAATCGGAACCATCAAGATTCTCCTCCTTTTCAGACAAAACCCGACGGGACGGTGGAGCGGATCTCGCGCCGAGTGGAGACGCGCGTCGAGGACCCGGTCACCGACCATGTCACATTCACCGGGACGGAAGGACCGGAACAAGTGTCGAGGGTGTTGGAGGGAGGAAGCGGCAGGGTGGAGACGGTGGACAGCCAGGGGAATGTCACCACAACCACCGTGTCACGCAGCCCACCACAGCCCAGGCACTAGATGAGGAGGAGATATGATCTCATTTTGTGAGTTTTTCAAAGCTAAACCCGGGAGCTAGAAGCTAGGAGTTGAGGGCTGGGAGCTGGGAGCTAGGAACTAGGAGATTGAAAATATGTCACAACGCAACCGCAACGCGTGCAAAATTTCTTTCGCTGGTTCGCAGCTTTATTCTATCAACTCTTGAAAATATATATGGGAGCTAGGAGCTAGGATCAGGGGGATCAGAATCCGGGAGCTAGGAGCAAAAAGTACCGCGACGCACGCGCAACGCGTCACAAATTTGTTTTCGAAGTAATCACAGCTCCCAGCCCAACTTCTTAAAATTGTGATTAGTCAAATTTAAAACAGCTGACAATCTAAAGTTTGACTTTTTTAAACACGATTTAAAATGGCATAAATTGGTTTAAAAACATCCTCAAATTTCAGATGAAGCTGCTACGCACACGCACAAACGCCTACTACATTTTTTTCTCAACAAATCTACAAAGAAAGCTCTGAAAATATTTGTTTTCGTTGTATAATTAATTGCACGCCTAGTGAAACTAGTCAAATCGTTCATTCCCCCCAAAAAAAAACCCTTCACGAAATGCATCTCATTATTTATCAATGGCATAGTCAAATTTTTCTATATAAGGTTGTTATTATTTTTGGGGTGTGTGGCGGGTTATGCAAATTACAAACAGGAACAATTGTTTCGAAAATATAGAATTCTAAACCGCGAAATTTACATAAATCGAAACTCGGAACACAAATAAATCAAACTAAAAGCTATATTCAATTTTAATCAATTTTCTGAAAACTTTAAAACTCAAAAATTTAAACAATTTTGCGCAATAAACTTTCAAATCGTTCTTTTTAATTTTTTAGGAAATTCCTGTTTTTACGCATAAGCCGTCACACGCCCATAGTTCTTTCAATTCGCCGTGCTGAAGTCGATTTGCCTAAGCCTAAGCCTAAGCCGAAGCATAGCCTAAGCCTAAGCCAAGCCTAAGCTAAGCCCCCGCCGCTTGTTTTTCACATACAGTTTGATATTGACGCGTACCCTAGTCTCCCCTACTCTACAGTATTCCCCCCTTAAAATGGCCATTTTGTAGTATTTATCTACCGTAATGTATTTGCCCCCGCCCGTTTCTTTTCGCGATACCTAAACTGGTCAGTTGATTTCGGTTGAGTAGAGTTTCTTTCTCTCTCTTTCTTTTGCTCTGTATTATTATTACTTTTATTATTTGCGGCTTGATAAAGCTTTTTGCTTATGATTGAAATGTTGGAATGGACGAATTACACCTCATTACACATTACAACAAGCGGTGCTAATGCAGTTAGGGACGGGGACAGTCCAAAATTAGTAGTAAGCGGTTACGAGGCACTCCGCTTAAGCTACTTGGTTTTCAGCTTAAGCCTAGGCTTAACTAGGTTTAAATAGGCCTAAGCCTAGGCTAAGCTTATATTGAGCTTCAAATTGACTCAGGACGTCAAAATCGGATCATTTATTGGCCAGCTTAGAGCTAAGCTCAGGCTTCGTTTGTATGAAGCTAAGCCTAGGCCTAAGTACTTCATTAGGTGCGTAATGGTCTATAAATGGCTGCACACCTATCAGATTTTGTAAAATATGTTATTTTCGACATTAAAATTAAGTTTTTCGCCAAAATTCGGCCACCCATTTTGTTAGGATAAAATTAGCATACGCCGGAAGTTGCAGTAGCCTGAATAAAGGCCTAAAGGGAACACTGGTCGCTGCTACCTTCTCAATGGTCTCTGCTAGCCCAGCTCAATGTGTCTTTGAATTTGAATCAACGTTGAATGAACCTCCACTTGACTTCCATAAATTAGCATCAAGTAAGATGTTCACATACGATCAAAGCCAGCTCAATGCCATACTTCCGGTTGTTATCAGTGGGAGATGGTTGGGGATTGATGTTTAGCTAATTAGCCTAGCCAATCCCAATTGAATTTTCATTTTTCTGCCCATATGTTTCATCTCGGCAAGTTTATCCTCCTGGTCAGTCGGCTGTTTTTTTAAGCACGACGGCTAGTCGGAGACGGACGTAAGACAAACTGAAAACCTTGACAAAAACCCGCAAAATCTTGTGATTTCCAGCTTCAACTGGTCCTCATCTACACGCCACTCATCGTTGGTCAAGCATTCGATGAGAAGGAGGGCACAGGATCGAGGAATTCAGGGGATATCATGGCCGCTAATTCAGCAGCTATCCCCCCGGACACCTCCTCATGCAAGGGCCAGATTATAATGCTGCACGACGGGGAACGACCAGAATATGGCATCTATCCGAATGGGAGTAGCATAGAAGGAGAACCGACGGTCTATGTCAGACCAATCGCCGGCAGTTTGATGACGCTTCGACTCGAAGATGGCACCTTCATCCACCTCTGCAATCAAAACTTCACGATACCGCCAAACAGCAACCTCACCTTTTGGGAAAAAGGCGGCTCGGTTGTAATGTATTGTATAGGGTGGCTCTCCGAAGTTGATTGCGAGGCGAATGGGCTGCCCTTCGAATGCAACGACGGGATCAACGTATTTTGCAAGCTGCTCAGTGATTGGACAACTACAACGACAACCACAACCACAACAACCACCACTACCACCACCACGACAACTAGGCAAGTAGATGTTCAGCTCTGTCATCAAGGCCTACGTACCGTTTAACCCACCGGTTTAACGGTTTACCGGGTAACCCCACGGGTACAGTGGATGGGGTCGGCGTCTGGGGGGGAGGGAGCGGGGGTAAACTGCACCCTAATCTCAATCAGTATCCATCAATTTCAGTCCGACTTCTTCGCCACCAAACAACAACGCTAACAAGCCGCACTTCTTCGGGATGTTGTTCATCTTCACTACGGCAGTCAATCGACACGCGATATGACTAAAAATGCCATCAGTTTTATTCACGTTTATGTGAAAGATGTTGATAAATATTGCTGTGGGAGAGAGAAAAAAAGACAGAGAAAGGAGAGGCAGAGATATAGAGAGGGAGATAGAGCGAGAGAGATAGAGAGAGCCAGAGAGAGAAAGAGACAGACAGTCAGCAGAGAGACACAGAGAGAGACAGAGGGACAAAGAGAGACAGAGGGACAAAGAGAGATAGAGCGAGAGAGAGAGAGGAAGATGCACGCCAGCCTTTTTGATAATTCGAATACATGATTTAAATGCATAGTTTAGCTGACGGATTAGAACGATGATTAGCATACATTACAGCATATAAAAAGAGTTTCAAAAATCTTTTTCATTTTCCGTCGACAGCCTTCGAGTTTCGACTTCTTTGTTCGAGCAAAACGATGCCGTCCATGAAGATTGCTCCTATAGTTGGTTATTATTTTAAGCCTTGTAAATTGCTAACTGTTTAGCTGCTGTTGCTGCTCCTCATCGTCCCGCAGCGCATCATCTCTGATGAGGGCAATGATGCGGACAACCCGACGATGCTCAAGCCGCCCGGCACGAACGACCCCAAGATGACGCTGATTCCCAAGAAAAGCCGGCCTCCTCAAGTCCAAAACCACTCGCCGCCATCGCCCTCGCCGACGTCCTCTGGCAGTACGGCCCCACCATCACCATCCACTGAACTCGTGAGTATCTACTGGAGCATTAATATCAGTATGATTATTTGTAGGGTATCACCGACTCAACGGACCCCACCGGCAACGATAAGAAGACCAACTCCGAAGTGGCTGGCTGCCAGAATTCGTCGTTGCCCGGAAACTGCGCCAACATCTCGACGACGCCGCCGCAGGGTGAGCCGGTGTCGACTCAGTTTCCGACGGTGGGTATTACTTTTTCGAACTTTCGTGCGTTTGAACTCCTTGATGACGTCGGCTCGTTATTTCGCTGAATGGACCGTTTTTTCAGCTTCCGCCATCCGCTTCCCCGGCCAACGGCACAGCAGACACGAACACAACACCCGAGGTGCCGTGCGAGAGTTGCTCGACCCCGATGAACAGCACCGAGCCGTCACCATCCGCCAATGCATGCAATGGGACCCTCATCTTGCCCGGGAATGGCATGCTCCCCTCAGGCGGAAGGGGACGCCGCAACTCCACCATTGAACTGATCGAAGAAGGGACCGTGGTGCAGATGTCAAACGGAAGTGAAGTGCACATTTGCCATGAAGACTTCTTGGTGCAGCCCAACAGCAGCATCATCATCGAGACGACCATGGATCAGGTTGATGTGCTCTGCGGAGGCAAAAATCGTCAGCTGCGCTGCGACAGCGCCGACAAGCTCAGTTGCCTTGGCCCGATAGATGTCCACTGCAAGAAGACGACCGTTTCCAGCGCCCCCACCACCAAGTAAGTGAGGAGGGCTAGCAGAGACCATTCATGGCTTCAATCAACCCTTTCATTTTCAGCTCGACCGCGGCGCCCCCGACGCTCGACGGCGAGAAGTCATCTTGGTGGTGGCTGCTCGTGGTCATCGTGCTCCTCCTCCTCACCGTCGTCTTCATCGTCACCACCACCGCCGTCACATTCTACATCATCAAGAAGAAGAAGAGCTTCAGGAAGCAGAAAACGAACGACGTCGAGGCGCGCCTTTCGAAGAACAACACGCCGGCGACCTCGAAGCCCACTACCACCTCAAGCGCAACGACGACACCTCAGAGCAAGGCCACCACCAGCAAGGCCACTCCGAGCAAGGCGACCCCGAGTATGGCCAGCCCGAGCATGACCTCTCCGGACGCATCTTCATCAAAGGTTGGTCGGCTAAAATAAAATATTCGGGTTTTAAAGCTAATTTTCAACGTTTTTGTGTTCTTTTGCAATATCGGGGGGGTCAGTGTTTAATAGGTTTTTTTGGTAATATATCACTATATTTAAAATTGAAAAACTATCTAACGAAAAAACGTTGAAAAAGTCAAAATCTTTGTCGAAAAATGAACATTTTTCAATTTTCAGGAAGAGGCGCCGTTCGTCTTGCAGCCCGGCACGTTCAAGTACCACCGCGGATTGAAGAGGTTCAATGGCCATACTGGTCAATGGGTAAGTCGGATCGTTGAACGCCTTGAACTTGTGCTATTTTCAGACCCACCGGCGTGAGCGCGAAGAGGAAGAGGAGTGGAAACCGGTCGCCTTCACCTGGGACGACGAGGGCCACGAGTACTGGGAATTCGAGGATGGGCCGGGTGTTGGCGATGAGGTGTGTTTTAGCAAAGCTATATTTAGCTATATAGCTTAGTAGTAATAACTTAACTTAAGTAATTAGTTAAGTCGCTTTTGTTAATTAATTTAGTTAATTAAATTTTCGTTTTTTAGTGGGTGGCGTTGGAGGAAGAGGACGAGACGCAGCTCAGCGACTCGGCGATGGAGAGGCCCGAGCGGCACCTGCGTGCCGACAAGGACTGCCCGTCGTCCGTCACTGTCTGCGACGACGAGGACGAGTCCGCGCAGGTTAGTGTCACGCTCCCTTAAAAAAAGTCGAAATTTTGGTCAAAAATCGATTCAAACTTTCCTTTTTCAGGCGGCGCAAAAGAAGATGAAGGCCACCCGCCACATCCCGGCCAAGTCGACGCACAACACCCGTGGCGCCCCTCCCCCTCGTCGTCCCGCCCGGCGCTGAACACCGAACGCCTCCAACAACATCAACAAGGACCGCAGAGCAACAACGTGATCAACGCCGGACAACTCGAAGTCAAAAGCACATCCCAGTTCCCCTTTGTGTGTCATGTTTTCTATTCGTTATACTGGCCCCTCGCAATCCAAATGTACATATTTCTTGATGTCATTGTCGTTTCTCGTGTATTTTCGTGTGCCTACAATATCATTAATAAAGTATCTGGCTTGAAAGTCGAAAGGAAACATCAGAAATTGCACTCTACTCAAATAATTTGGGTAAAGATTGCTTAACGGGGGGGGGGGAGAAATAACGAGGGTGGAAAACATTTCACCTGTCAGGCCAATTCAAGCCTGTCATCGGACAGAGCGTCGATAACTATACGAAGAGATTTAATTTCAGCCCAATATATTTCAATTGAAAATTATTACTTATTAAGCTAAAAAGTTTATTCAATTAAAAATCGTTAAAAATGAGCTTTTCCGACTGAAATTAAATCTCTTAGTATAGTATTCGACGCTCTATCCAATGGCTTTTTGCATCTCCCCAATGGCCTCTGCTAGCTCTCCTCAATGGTCTCTGCTAGCTCTTCTCAATGGTCTCTGCTAGCTCTCCTCAATGGTCTCTGCTAGCTCTCCTCAATGGTCTCTGCTAGCTCTTCTCAATGGTCTCTGCTAGCTCTTCTCAATGGTCTCTGCTAGCTCTTCTCAATGGTCTCTGCTAGCTCTCCTCAATGGTCTCTGCTAGCTCTCCTCAATGGTCTCTGCTAGCTCTTCTCAATGGTCTCTGCTAGCTCTTCTCAATGGTCTCTGCTAGCTCTCCTCAATGGTCTCTGCTAGCTCTCCTCAATGGTCTCTGCTAGCTCTTCTCAATGGTCTCTGATAGCTCTCCTCAATGGTCTCTGCTAGCTTTTTCCTTTTTCAGGCGGCGCTCTCAAAAAAGAAGAAGAAGGCCACCCGTCACATCCCGGCCGAGTCGTCGCAGTACGACCGTGGCGCCCCTCCCCCGCGTCGTCCCGCCCGGCGCTCAACGCCGACCGCCGCCAACTTCAACAAGGACAGCAGGGCAACAACGTCATCTAGCCCGAACAACTCGAAGACGGAAGCCCATCCCAGTTCCCCTTTGTGTTCCTTGATTGATGTTGTGTGTTTGTCCCCCTCGCATTGACCCCTCGGAATTTCGCCTCACTATGTCTCTCTCTCACTCTTATATGCTGTGTAATAAATGAAATTCGATAAATGATGAATCCCTACTATACTATTATCCTACTACATATAAAAATAGTGTCAGTGTCTCTAGAAAAACTATCCAAAAACTTTCAAACTTTTCAAAATAATGGAAGAATCGAGGTCAATCGACAAATATTTTTTCTGTTTTTTTTTCCATAAAATCCTGCTTTATACATTTTTGGCGGGTCTATCTGCGTGTCTGTGTGTGCAGCTGTCATTTTCGAGGCCGGATTTGATGGCCTTTCCATGCATAAATGCCCTAATCCTTCGTCACTTGGAGGAATCGACCCTCCTCTTTCCAGCGGCGTTTTCAGAATTCCGATAAAATACAATTTTACAAAGTTAAAGCCTGTTTTATTTATTTTTCGGGGTACCTGAGGGCAAATTTGCATCAGGCAAAAAAATACAATATTCCTCGTTCGTGCCAGTTGCACTTGCGCGTGTGGTCGGGCCGCAGGACCCGCGCTATCAGAAAGTGAAACTTTTCCTGCAAGGGGCCCATTCCAGCGCCTAAGGCCCGCGAAGCGGGTTTTGGGCGCTGGTCACGTATGAAAGAGTAGAGAACATTTTCAAACAGGTCAACACCAGATTTGATGACGAATCGCTGGGTCTTAATAAGCGAGAGAAAGGGCCGGGAAATTTGATAAGGCGTCAGGCAGTTGGTTCCGGAAATGCTGGCATTCATCATTTTCTGCATTTTATTGCAATCTACCGTATGCCTCGACTTTTTCTGTCCAAACGGGACGATAAAGGTTCCGGATCAGGAGCGATGTTTATATTTGGGGACCGGAGGTAGGCATCATCTCTCTCGCTCTCTGTCTCTCTCTCTCTCTCTCCCTCTCGCTCTCTCTTTTAGCCCACTCTCTAACCCTATCTCTTTCTAACTATTCCTTTGACATAGGAAATTGTCGGTGGCCGCGACGCGCGCGTGGCGTGTTGCGGACGGCAAAGTTTGTAGAGGACCACACGAACAGCGAGAAACAGCAAGAGCGAGAGAGAGAGAGAGAGAGAGAGAGAGAGAGAGAGAGAGAGAGGGAAATCCAGGTCCAGACACGTCCCTTTCAGCCACAACCTACCCAAACGTCCAGACAGTATGCCAGCGCTGGAATGGACTACCCGCCAAAATTGGAAACGCCTTTGACAACGGATTTTTGGATGGATTATTGCAATTTGGTGAGCTGAGTATCATTAATGTGTAAATATACATTTCAGGCATTAGTTCTGATTCTGCATATATTGGTGTTGAGAAGAACAATGCTGGAGAGTGGACTAATAGCGATGGATCGCCGTTGACTTATAAGAATTGGGGATCGGGTATGTTAGAGAGCCGGACTTGAGAGAGAGAGAGTGAGAGAGAGAGAGAGAGAGCGATAGGTAGAGAGTGTCAGAGAGAAACAGTTACCTCAAAACCGTTCCCAGAATTTAGGCGAACCCTACAACGGCCCGGGACGATGTGCTCTGATGAAAACCGCCACCGGGAAATGGGCCGCTACAGAATGCTCCAATATACAGCCGTACGTCTGTGATGTAAGAACCGGAAAGCGTAATGGTACGTAGCTCTCTCTGTCTCTCTCTGTCTCTCTGGCTCTCTCTCGGTCTCTCTCTCGGTCTCTCTCTCGCTCTCTCTCTCGCTCTCTCTCTCTCTCTCTCTCTCTCTCTCTCTCTCTTAAATCCTCCCTTTAAGGTACTCGCTGCACGGACGGCTGGCATTTCCTCGACGCAACTAAATCCTGCTATTATGTATTTGTAGGTTTACACAGGTTTTTAAGGGGGTGGGAAACCATTTACATCCAGTGCCGACCAAGAATCCATAGCCTTGCCTTTCCGATGTCTTTAAACTCCCCATAATTCCAGAACTACACCCTCGGAGGCGATGGCTACGTGGCGAGGTACAGCTGGACGCAGGCCGAGGAGCTATGCCGGGGGCTAGGAGCCCATCTAACATCGATACACTCGGATCAGGAGGATATTTTCGTCAACCGTTCGTCGATAGTGGTTTCGTTTATTAGGCTGCTTTACAGTACTAATCCGGTCGGAAGCCTCCAAGCTGGATCATCGCCCGCCCGGGGTTGGGGTCTGTGATTTGTCTTCAGCAGGGATCGGATTGAAAGGTCGTAAGGAGTTCGGAGTGGTAGAGAAAGAGACAGAGAGAGAGCGAGAGAGAGCGAGAGAGAGTAGGAGAGAGAGAACGAGAGAGAGATAGAGAGAGAGTGAGTGAGAGGGAGAGCAAGAGCCGTACGAGAGAGAACGAGCGAGAGAGAAAGAGAGAGAGACAAGAGAGAGAGAGAGAGAGAGAGAGAGAGAGAGAGAGAGAGTCGGTGAGCGAGAGCGAGAGAGAGCACTAACTCATGTGATTTTACAGGCTCCGGCGCTCTGAAGTCTGGTGGATGGACGGACGGTAGCCCGGTCGACTACGTTCAGGCAAAACGCCTATTCTGTGCCCTACGTCTGGGCTGTGGGTTACTGTACTTCGTGTGTTGCTGTGCCATGAGATATTACCAGCTTTCTTTGCTAAACAGGAAATTGTTTTACGTGGTCTAGATCAGGTTACCGTTTTTACGCAACGCGTTGAAGACACTACAGCCTTAAACTATCACCAAAAGACCCGTTTTAGAAGGAGAACGACAAGGAATGTTCACCTCCCTACTGGCTGCCCCACGACCAAGACTTTCTATCTGCACGATTCGTGTGCCAAAAGTTTGCGGAATAAACTGGTCGTCCTGGATTTGCCGGCACTATTAATGCTCTTTTTAATCAGGCATCTCAGACGCGCACTAAATAAACCCGGGAAGCCAAAATTATGTATTAATTAGGTAACGCATGGATTTTTGTGCGTTCCCCATTTTTCCTGAACTTTCGCCGGTTTTTGGCTGCAGCCATGCTTTGCTGGTAGGGCCGACCGGATGGGTGGGTGACAGGACGGACAGATCCCAGATAAGACACATTGGCGACTCCCGGTCCATGGGATCATTTTACCCGCTAATACTCCTTGTTACGCTCGTCCAGTTGTCGATTGCCACCGGGATCAACAGGGTAAGTTAAAATTAAAGTTAAAGCTCCTTAAAGTCTCAGTTTTCAATATTTAATGGGGTGAGTTAATTTTATCCGATGGGATTGAGAGACGATTGCAGCGGTCCAACGAGTCAGAAACGCTAGGTCGAAAGCTTCGCCGTTTCTCTCTCTCTCTCTCTCTCTCTCTCTCTCTCTCTCTCTCTCTCTCGCTGTCAAACGCTCTCGCATTCGCTCTCTTTCTTTTTCTCTCTTGCGCTGCTGCTCACCTGCTCTCTCTCTCGCTCTCTCTCTCACGCGCTCTTTCTCTATCTCTCCAATCCTGGTACACACCGCACAGCGACACTTAATCCATTACTCTACGGAAAAGCCATGAGCGTTGCGATGCGTTGCGTGCGACCTGGTGGAATCGGAACCACTTCCTCAACCCTTTTTCTTTTCAAAAGATATCCGAAAATTTCGACATCAAAAAATTTCCTTTCAGCCCGACATCGGTCCCGTGAAGCAACATCTTTGCCCAACACTCGGCACCTCGGCCTATATTCTCGTCACCCTCACCCCCGATATCGACATCTCGGCCTTTGTCGGGTTGCTGAAAGGGTATTCGGCGGTAGGCTAACCCCTGCTCTTCAAAAGTTCACCGTTTCGCCATTCCGGGTTTAAATCCGGCAATTTTCCGGCAGCCGTCCACCCCTCCCCCACCTCGGCTTATCGCAAGAAGCTGATTCTGGCCTGCGAGGGAGGGGGGGTCTGATTTACTAGCTGCCGGTTTTGGCGCCGATTTTTGGGAGGAATTCTTGGACAGACCGAGGGCGTTCGGGGATTGCGTCGGCAGTCATGTAATTGCGCTATTAAAAGTGGGAGGGAAATTCCGATGACATGACGAGAACATAAAAATTTATATCGGAATTTGGTAAATTTGCAGTTTTTATAAAACTAAAAGTTGACAAAAATTCACGGATGAATCCAGGCATATCTAATTACCTTATAAAATTCAATAAAAAAATTTTAGTTAACCCAGCGCATCAACACCAAGTACCAATTCATTTTTGGTGCGTCTAAAGCGGCTGAATTCTATACGGATGATTTGCTGCAGACTATTGATGTAAGGATTTAGAAAAAGTGCTTCTTTCTCGCTCAGTCTCTCGCTCTCTCTCTCTCTCTTGCTCTCTCTGTTTCTCTCTCTCTATCTCTCTGGCTCTCCTTCTCTTTCTCGCTCTCTCTCGCTTCTCTCTCTCTCACCTTCTCTGTCTCTTTCACTCTCGCTCTATCTCTCCACCTCTCTCCCTTTTCAGGAATGGGTGGCCAAACCCGAGCTCCTCGCCCAATACTACAATCAATCGCTGACGAACAGCACTGCTGATGTCCAGTATGGAGAAGAGTTGGCCAACTCGGTCACTTACCATATAAGGCAGCCATTGGAGGCCGAGAATACGCTATCCGCCACTGTGAGCAAGAAGAAGCTGGTCGTGCTCATTTGTGATTATGTCCATTGGAACGCTACACAACTGTTGAATCAGGCTATTATTGTGGTGAGCTTCAGGCAGCAAGAGATAGAGAGAGCGAGCGCGTGAGAGAGAGAGAGAGAGAGAGAGCGAGAGACCGAGAGAGATCGATCTAGAGAAAGAGAGCTTGCTAGTGCGGGGAGCCTAGAGGGAGATTTAGATTGTGCGAGGTACAGAGAGAGAGAGAGAGAGAGAGAGAGCGAGAGAGCGAGAGAGAGAGAGCGAGAGAGATAGAAGGCCAAAACATAGATTCTTAAACGTCCTTTCCAGCCAAACACGAAAATCTATGGTCTCTCACACGATATGGACCTCTCCTTGCTACGTTCCGTGGCGGCTTTCAGCGTCTTCTCCTCAATCCAAGACCCAGCCACGCTGAATCCGATTTTTACTGCTGACGCTGACTTCCGTGGGTCTCCTCGCTTGCTTGCTACGTTCCTTTAAGTGCCGATAAGACCCTAAGAATTGCAGATTTCCCCGAATCGCTACAACAAGAAATTCGCGCATCTAATGGTATCTTCGTGGTCGCCCATAAATACCTCGGTCGGGCTAGGCGAATATTCTTGGATACGGTATGTCAAGCAGATTTTAGGGAGCTATGAAACTCTAGGTGAGCGGTGAGCAGTGTCACCCTGGAAAAGGGCGAATGAACGACCGCTTCATGACAGTCAGATTCGCGGGGGATAGCAACGATACAGCTAGAGGTAACGCGAAGCGCTGCGTAATTTAATCGAGAGTTTTTAGAGATGGACCTCCCCTGGATCGGGAATCTGACCGCGGATTTTGGGCAGCATTGCTTCGATCGATTCGAGAATCAGACGGGTTGGTATTTTTGGAGGCCGAAGGGTACTGAACTGTTGGCCGGGGGAAGGGTGTAGCGGGGGGATACCAAGTTTTTCCCGGTAATCTTGTAAGGCGCTATAACAAGGCATAAACTATATTTTATAACATTTTCAACAGCCTTATCTATAAACCGCTCCAAAAAATGATAAAGCGTTTCGAAAATTGTGACTTTTGGTCAAAAATCTTTGAAAAATGGACAAAGGTGCCAAAATTTTTGAATTTCGAAAAATTAAAATTTTTGTAGAACTGTCTAGCGATCAAAAACTGGAAAAGCCTATAAAAATGCAAAATATAGATCAGCAGGTGTGTAGGTACAGGCGGACCGTCAAGGCAAAAAAGCTGCCGCGGGCGGGATTCGAACCCACGTCCCCTTGTTGGAGAGGATCCGTTCTTGAGACGGACGCCTTCGACCACTCGGCCACCGCGGCGATATGCTTTCTGGTGCTCCAAACTTTTATAGGCCCCTTAAAAACAGTGGACCAGGTGGGGGAACAGGCGATGAAAATTTTCATCAGGGTGAACGGCAGAATGTTATTCAAAAAAAAAATCGAGGCCGCGGCATCTGTCGCGCAAAAAGAATGAAATTTGAATTTTTTTTTTCTGTGCTTGAAGGGTTCGATTAGCTGACTCAAGCGATATGAAGAAGTTGTGCTGATACGTAAATGCCGGGGGTGATGTTTTATCAGAAAATGCCTTTGCTATTCGGGAATCCGTGTGTCGGGCTCTTACAAGTCTGCAAATTTCATACGACAAATACAAACATCCGCAAACACCAAACGTGGCTTTTTAAAGGGACCATCAAGTCAAAAAAAGACAAAAAGCTGCCGCGGGCGGGATTCGAACCCACGTCCCCTTGTTGGAGAGGATCCGTTCTTAAGACGGACGCCTTAGACCACTCGGCCACCACGGCTTGGACGGTTTCTGGAGCCCCAAGCTTTTATAGACCCCGTACAGGCAGTGGACCAGGTGGGGGAAGAAACGGTGAAAATTTTCATCGTCGGGCTGATGGCATGGGCAAAGAGGGGGAAGGCCCTGGGGTGAGCGGCAGAATGTCATCCCGTGAATCATCCGTCTCCCTGTCCCTCTTTCGTGGCCCACCAACAATGAAGTTTCGCTTTGTTTTGCGTATCTTACCTATAGAGTTCAACGCGCCGATTCCGTTTCTATGACTTTTGCTGACACAGGAACTACGAAGAGTGTTACTTTATTAAAAAAAAACAGTATTTAGTGCCGAGAATCAGGGACCGAGCTCTAAAATCCTACAAATTTCCTACATAAACTCCGTTTCGTCAATCCGGTTCGACTGGAAATTTCGACGTTTCCTGATTTTGGAGAAAACGAAATTTACCGACTGGTGGCGCGTTTTCGCCTTTACCAACATAATTTAAAAACATCAAAAATACGATAGAAATATGATTAATCGATTGAAAGTCCTGTCTATAATTCTTATCCTGGCCACAAAAGCTTCGTAATTTCTATATTTTTCGAACACTATACTTACCATTTCAGTTGTCCCCTCCAGCGAGTCCGGTCTTCTGATCATCGAAGATTTCCTTACCGCCCTCGTCCCGCCCCCGAACGTCACGTTCACGTTCGCCTCGCTGTTGTTGGGCAACGACTTCGGGCTGGTCGAGCACTTGCAGAAGCGGATTGAGCAGCTCGAGACTACGGTATGTTAAATGTCTAAACAACAATCCTATCCTTTTCGTGAAACTTTATTCCGAAAGAATCCATTTCCAAAATTTTCACTATTTTCCGGTTTTTTTTGCAATTTAATTCGATAGAGCATCAAAAAATATACAAGAACCTTTAAATCACAGTTTAAAAAAATTCAAATAAAAAGAAGTAATAGCAAAAACAAGACAACGTCAAGTCCGACCTTCTTTTCAGACCCCATTTCACATCTGGGCCGACGGGGAGCCGGACTCGATTTATACAAATGTAACGGTCGAATTGATGGAGGCGCTGAGCAGCGACTGGGGTTTGTAGCTTGTAGTTTAAAGGCTAGAAAAGCCTGTCATCTTTCAGACCATCTAATTCTGCCCTATACCTTTTACGACAATCGCACGGACCAGGCCACCGTATGTCGGGATGTTATTCCGCAAGGTTCCGCGCGTTTACGGGTTATTTTTACCGTAATTCAGTGAGGATGCTGGCGTCTAAGCCCTACCACAAGCCGAAGCACTTCTACTTGGCCGTTGAGGATATCGTGAGTGCAGCTACGCATCTCTAGCCTACCTCTCTCTCTCTCTCTCTCTCTCTCTCTCTCTCTCTCTCTATCTCTCTCTCTCTCCATCTCTCTAGCCTGTTTCTAGCGTAGCGTAATAACCGACGTTTTCCTAGATCTGGATGACGGTCTGCGCTGCCGGTTCGGCAATCATCGTTGGGTATCTGATCTACCGGAAAGCCTACAGGTACTGTAGGCTTCTTGGACCATGACCTCGCATGCAAATTAGGCTCTACCAAGAGCAGCTAGACGTGATGGGCGAGATCGCGATGCAGCCGTTACAATACAGGTTGGCAAGTTTTGGTAGCTCTTTGACGGGGACGAGTTACTTTCATGAGCAGCGGACTGCAGCGTGACCGCTACGTACTCCAGCGTCATGCGGATTGCCAAGGGGTCTTTAAAGCGTTGCGAGAGTATTACCGAGTGCCGCGTACCTTTTCCAAATTCTACCGCGCAACTGCAACAAATTTGCCGCATTTTTTTGGTGGAATCGGGCAGGTTTACGCGTTGTAGTTGCGTCACGGCTGCGTAGCGGCAGTTAAAGGCGGTTTCATGAGTCCGTCAGTTTGAAAGCGCTGCGGTCGCGTGACGCTTCCATGCCGCCAAAAAATCCATTTAAGACCGAAGAACGAGAACGTGCGAATGGCTCGACTGCCATGGGAGATCAAGGCGGATCGGGTGCACATAGACCGGGAATGTCTGCTGGGCGAGGGTACCCATTCAGACGTGTATTTGGGTAGGTTTTAGTTAAGTCGTATAGTTGGTCATCTTTAGTTGATGGCTTATAGTCTACTTTTCCAGGCCGCCTAAAAGGGAAGGCACCGATTATGCAGTGGATGGAACGGGTGGAAATGAGACAATATCAGGATTGTGCCGTGGCAGTTCGAGTGAGGATTTCCGCTTAATTTGTGCATTAAAGAAAGTAGCGAGTACATTTGCGTCGGTCTGCGTGGCCGTTTGGTAAATTTTTAATAGCACTTGCACGATCGGGTTTCGTCCCGATGATTTTTACAAAAATTTTTCAGGTTCCTCGCCGATTCGACGAGGCCGAGGAGGAGCAGCTATTTCGAGAGGTCGCGTCGATGCGACGCCTCCGAAGTCATGCTCATATTGCGCTATTTTTGGGCTGGTCCTCCATTGATAATCTTGTTTGCTCGTTGATCGAGTTGACGCATACAAGTTTCCGGAAATATTTGCAGCAACTGGAGGAAAGGTCAGTAGAGCTAAACACAATTTGACGTTTCCTCTACTCTAGTTCTGACTCTTCTTCCACTCGAGGGCCGCCCCGGTTGCCTTTCAAGCAGCTTTTCCAAATCATATGGCAAGTCTGCGATGGAATGGTGTGTATTTCGCATACCTTAACTACAGGGTGTCCCAAAAAAAACGAACCATCTGGCATTTCGCCGTGTTACATCCAATCGGCCCAAAATTTGGACCAGATGTGTATCAGACCCTAAATAACAACAATCCTGACTTTTAGCCCCGTAGCTACAGTCGTTTGAAAGTTATAACGAAAATACTGTTTTTCAGAGAATTCTGAACAGTTTTTTCGGCGATCTTTTTGGACTTTGCATCGATTTGCATCGACTTCCGGCTGCAAATCCCTAATTTCGCTTAAGAGCTTGGGTAATTTTGCGTTGTAAAAATCGCTTAAATTGAAGCTTATTTAATTAATTTTACTCTGGAAAAAATTTCTTAAGGGAAAGAAGGCCTACCGGATCATTTTCACTTAATGTCTAGGGGATCTAATTCCACGAAAACCCTGTGAAAAATGGAAAATAAAGTTTGTTTTTGGCATAACTCGAGAACGACTGTAGCTACGGGGCTAAAAGTCAGGATTGTTGTTATTTAGGGCCTGATACACCTCTGCTCCAAATTTGGGACCGATTGGATGTAACACGGAGAAATGCCAGATGGTTCGTTTTTTTTGGGACACCCTGTATATTAAGAATCCAAGACTATATTTTCTATGAAAGCGTACCTATTCTTTTCAGGCCTACATCCATCAGCGACATCTGATACATCGAGATTTGGCAGCTAGGAATATTCTGCTCACTTCTGAGTTAAGGCCGAAGGTAAGAAGCTTTCAATATAAACTAGGACTTGGTACTGTCAACTATTCAAGAGGGTTGTTACAATCCGCGCTCAAGCCTGAAGATAGCCCTCAAAATTGCGTAAACGTACATATCAGGACCTGGGAGCTGGGAGTAGCAGAAGCCGAATTCAGCGTCCAGCTCCTGGCTCCAAAACTTGAAACTTCACGCTCACCAAACTTCCAGATCTCCGGCTTCAACTTCTGCTCGGACCCTGGGGACCCGAAGTTCGGAAGGGGGAGCACGCTGTTGAGGCGATTACCAGCCAGGTGGATGGCCCCAGAAGCATACCTGGGACAGTTCATTCCGCCAAGCGACGTGTCAGTTTTTCTACCTTAAGGATGAAATCTATAGGATTTTGTTAAATTTAATTATTACAGCTGGTCGTTTGGTGTGCTTCTTTGGCAGGCCTTTTCCTATGGGGCGTTTCCGTTTCCGGAGTTGCGGGATGAGGAAGCAGTGCACTTGGCGTACGCTCGGGGCACCGTACCGCCGAGGCCGGAATTGGCATCGCGGCATGTGTAAGTTTGGGCGGTCGTTCTCTGTATCTCTCTATCTCTCTCACGCTTTCTCTCTCCCTCTCTCTCTCTCTGTCTGTCTCTCTCTCTCTCTCTCTCTCTCTCTCTCTCTTGATTCACATCCACATGCTTTCAGATACACTCGTATGTGTTCTTGCTGGTTGCGAAACCCGATGGACCGGCCGACTTTCCCGGAATTGCGAGACTCTTTCTACCAAACTTTCGAGCGACTACACGAAAATCCAGGCTTTATCATGGACGAGTAGACGTCGGACGTTTTTTAAAGGGACTGACAAGTGGTCCTTCCCGGTCCCTTTAAAACACAATTTCTCAAAACATAATAGACTTTATTGATGCAAATTTTTTAACCTTTGTCTTCTCTTCGTTTACTAATACGGGTATCACCTTCTCCTTCTCACTTTTAACTGTATCACCTCTGATAAATGTATATTTTGCGCTGTGTACTGTATAAAAATGCCATAAATCGCTTAAAACTCAAATTTATCGCAGAGAGGAGAATAGAAGAATAATGAACGAACGAACGAATGAATGAATGAAATATAGGGGCGCCACGTCGTGAAAAAAAATATAGTATATAAAAATTAATTAACACACTTTAATAGATCGGTGGTGGGGGGGGAGGGCGAGAGAGTGGGAGGAGGGAGGAGGGGCAGAGAGGCCTTAATGGAAGGTAGGGATTTCGGGATTTTTCTAGTCATATTTTCTTCTCCTTAACTTTGAAGTCAAAAAATCAATATGTATTCACTTTATTAATTTGTCTGTATGCTAATTTCTGTTTTAAAGGCGCAGTAAAGGTAAAATCTACAGAAAACTCCCAAAATCAATCGAATAAGATGGATTTTCTCGCGTGGGGAAATAATTGATGCGCACTTTGGGGCAACATTGGGCAAATTGGGGATACGGTGAGAGGGAGAGAAAGAGAGAGAGAGAGAGAGAGAGAGAGAGAGAGAGAGAGAGAGTGACACGGCATCCAATGTAATATTCGACCACAATCGACGCAAATGAAGGAGAAGAAAAACATCCTAGGAACGAAACGGCTAAATAATAATCGCAAAAAAAAAAACAAAAAAAATAATAATATATGTGTGTGATGTGAGACGGGGGGATGGACACGCAAACACCAAGAAATCGGGAAACGGGGTGGAGACAACGCAACGGATGGATGAAGGGAGAGGCCAAAATTCTCCACAGAAAAAACGGCCCTTGAAATTTGTAGAAATTTTTTGGAAAAGTAGAAAATGGTTAAGGAACGTTCAGCCCGAATTTTTATGCAATAGGCTTGGGCTTAGGCTAAGGCTTAGGCTTAGAATTGGCTTAGGCTTGGCTTAGGCTTAGGCTTAAGCTCAGGCTTAGACTCAGGCTTACGCTCAAGCTTAGGCTCAGGCTTAAGACCAGGCTTAGGTCGACACCTAGACTTTGACCTAAGTCGAAACATGGTCTCACGCTCATGCCTCTAACCCATGTCACCCGGGTTCGACCCCCGCTCGCTACAAACCTTTCTACTTTTTGCTCAAAACCCAGGCTGAACGTTCCATTAATGCGCCGGGAAACGGAGAAAGCCATCAGCTTGGCAGGGTCGCTAGGAGAATTTGCAGGGAAAGAGTCTCGACACCGGCCCGGAGGGTTGGAGATGGTCAAAAAAACTATAAAATTTAGTGTCCCTCTAGTGTACACGACGCATTGATACTTTGGAAGGTCGGGGGCTAGCGTAATTAGGGAAAGTTCGGAATCGGAATCGTCAAAAAAATTTGGAATTTTGTCGAGCCATTGCGGGGTACGTAGAAATTTTGTTGCTTTGGTGATGGTGGCAAATTTTGGGGCGGGCGGGCATACGGTAGGTTATGCAAATTTTCGTGTCTTCAGAAAGTTACAGCAACTTCAAACCAATAAAAATCAATTTTTCAATTTTTAAAAAATTTAAAACGAAAATTTTGCCCGTTTTATGATTTTTGCTGATTGAATGAGCTTCATTTCCATATGCTAATGACGGCTAAAATTTCTTTTTTTTTTTGCCAAAATCATCAGTTTTAATGTTAAAAATTAGCATAAATTACCGTAGCCTCAAAATCGCCCCCAAAAAAATTCTCGACTAGTTTACAGGGATGGCCGTAGATTCAAAAATATATATTCATTTTTGCGTGCTGCTTTCGGATGCATTGAGCTGGGCAGACAGAGGGGGAGGGGATGGTCTTTTAAAGGGAACAGGACTCGGGGGATCTGGTTAGGCTATGTAAATATGATGTTTGTAGAGGGGAGGGTGGAGATGAAATGGAGGAAAGTTTTCGCCATATCCGTATTCAAATGCGCCTAGCCACGTCGTCGTCGTCGTCGTCGCAACACACCGCCATGGAGGCGCCCCAGTGGGGAGGCTGGAAAAATCTTGGTTATATTTAAATTAATCTTGGTTTTAAATTGCTTAAGGGGCTTACACGGCCTAATTCTTTTAGCTGTAGGTACTTTAGCTGTCGGTATTATGCCTAAAATTCGAGCGATGCTCATCCCTTGCCGGGCCCCTTTGGCTTAAGTGCAGTTTAGCCCCCCCCCCAGCCGACCACCACCTACCGTATCTCGACTCCCTGTTCATCTACATAGGTGTAAAGTATACCAAAATACTCGCCAGAGAAAGACGAACATCTTGGTATCCTTTACACACCTGTAGATGAGCACGGAGCCGAGATACACAAGTTGAGTGCCGGTTGGGGCTGGGGGGGGGTAAACTGCACTCTAACCGCCCCGTTTAAAGGGCCCATCAAGGCCTCCCAAGGCGAAATTGCGGCCAAGGAATTAGCAGAGTTTTAGCCGCTTAATAACTCTTCTTAAATTGTGGCAAATTTTAATTATTTAAGTTATCCTAAACTAACCCTTTAAGGATCCGAAAAAACTTGAAAACTCTGGAGAGATAGCAGAGATCGTTGCGGATCAGCATTAAAGGGTCCGACAAGTAAAATGCACAACACTGACCTGCGGTGGTTAGCGCTGTGGGCGGCCATCGGCGGCGGCATCGGACGGTGTACGCCGGGGCAACGGGGAGCCACCGGGTGAACTTCCCGGTGACGGCTGGCCCATCGTTGGTGGCATTCGCTCGTTGATCTTGTCCAAACGTTTCGCCTCGTCGAACGATTGTATCCGGTGGCCGGGGGTGAAGCCGGAAAGGGCTAAAAAGGGATTCATTATTTGTAGTTGGTTTGGAATATTTTTTTTTTAAAGGGGGCGTGCCAGCAAAGATTGCGTTTAGAGAAATCGTATGAAGCCTAAAAATAATTTTTTGCCTCGATTGTCCTGTCACGCTCCCTTTAAAACCGGATACGACCCTTTTCATCAATTCTTTTTCTCTTTTAAAGGTACAAGTCAAAATCCACGGCTAAAATTCAACACGGTTTTCTCTGCTTTTAGAGCACCTGGAAGGTCGAAAATCACGCATTTTTCTGTTTTTAACGCTTTAGGCGATCTGTAAGTACGTTTAGATACTCCTATCGTACTCCTGAGTTCAACAAAACATAGATAATTCTTGCAAAAATCAAACTCACTCTCCTGCAGCGTTTCCCGCCCTCCGGCCAGTACGCCCTGGGGTAATTTGCCTCCCGGATGGAGCCCCTTCAGCTGTACCACCGTCTCGCTCTCGTGTCTACAGGATTGCCGTGTACACCAGACCCCACACTCCGCTATACACCCCTTTACACCCCGCGCGCGCTTTTCAAAAATGGGCGCTTTTTGTTGGGGGGTTAGTCGCAAATTCACGAAAGCGTGCTACGGTAGTTGGCTACGGTCATTTTCGAGAATTATTTTTTTATCGATCGTTATTAATCTCAAAAATGAAGGAACTTGAAGTTTCGGCGTATTGAAATTTCGAAAAAATCTCCGACAATCGGGTTTCGACAAAACGGTTTTCGAAAAATCAGAATCCCGAATTTTTGACATACTGTTGACAAATTGTCAAAAATTTAACAAAAAAATATTAGCATATTACTTCCTGTTTGAAGATTGAAAAATGTCTATAATTTTTATATTTGGAAATTAAAAGGCCTAGGAAGATTTAAAAATTCGAAAAATCGCAAATGTCAAATTTCTGAAAACTTTTCAGTTGTAAGAGGCCGATTTTGCGAAATTTTCTAGTGGGTAAGCTACTGTGACAACTCATGCTCGATTTTCTCGCCTTAAATTGCAAAAAAAATGCCGATTTACCGCAGAATCTGGGTTGGCACAGAGCGCTTTTCGGCCGTATCGTGCCCTACCGTACCATCTACCGTAGCCCCAGGTACTAGTAGTACTCCGAATTACAACTAAAAACGAGCCTCCAAAATCCAAGTTATTCGAAAACCTCGCGCACGCACGCGACGCGGACAAATTTGCATTCCAATGAGGGGAGGGGCGGGGCTAGTTGGTGTATATTGGATGTACACGGAACCTTTTTTCGACACGAGACACGATTTTTGTCGGAGACGGGAACGCTGCAGTAGAATGTGTAGTTTGTAGTGCCCCGTAGTTTGTAGCCTACTGTAGCCCTGTAGACTACCGTACCCTCTTGGAGTCCACGCTTTCCTTCGACGAGGGTGCCGTGTGGAAGTGTGCCGGTTGGGGTGAGGCCCTTCAGCTGGAGCACCGTCTCCGACTCCTCCCTGTAAGTCATTAGTGCGTAATCAGGAGGTTAGGGGTTAAAGTACGCTTAGAAATCGACAATGAGTAGTCTCCATAGAATACACACGCAACGCAAGCACGCGCCGCCTCGCTTTTTGGACCCTGGGGAGCAGATTTTAAAGGCGCCGGGAAGCCAAAATTCCGTGGATTCTTGACTTTTCGATTTCTTTAAAATCGTCCTCGGGGTTGCGCTTTGAGGGAAATACTTTTTTTGATAGCTTTGGATTTTTGGATGTCATTAATTAGCTTGTAAAACCTTAAAAAAATTGTTTTTCGTGACGCTAGTGAATTTTTTGAGTTCTTAAGGTTTATATAAACCTTTTTCGATACGTTAGCATTTCTAAATTATCAAATTAAAGTTAAAACATTTCAAAGAAGTGCAAAAAATCGTATTTTCCACAATAGTCCAAATGACGAATTTTTACGTCAAGGTGTATGTATCCAAAGCTATCAAAAATCGCATTTTTCACCTTGAATTCTCTTGAAAAAATTCAAACTACGCAACGCACCTCAACACGGAGAATGCTCGTGCCATTTTGCCGATTGCCCGAATCTTGGTGCGGATGACCTCCTTGCGGGCTGACGGGACGCCGCCTAAAAATCGTGATTATGGCCGGTGGTTGGGTTACGGTATCGCGTGGGGGGTTACGGCAGCCACCGCATGGGGGGTGGGAGGGGCCAGACAGCCGTTTTTCGCCTAATTGTTTCATTTTTCTTTCGTTTTCCATCTTATTTTCAATTTTAAAGGGACCGTGCCAGCTGGGCTCAGGATACTTTGAAATTTGTAAAAAGTTTTAAAATTTCCGAGAAGCGCTCTGAATTATTTCGAAATTGCTATGTTTTTCTGACTTGAGGCTTTAAAACGGACTTAAAATTTACAAACTTGTATTTTAGAATTTTTGAAGCTATTAAAAGCGGTTCTGACGCTTCGGCCGGTCTAAAATTGTGAAAAAATCCAAAACAAAAAAAACTTATTTTTAGTTTTTGAATTTTTCTGGATGAGCTTGACTTCACGGTTCCTTTAAAATAAAGTAGACGTTTTAAAATTTGAATTTTGGCTAAAAAAATATTAAATTGCTGATCGAGCTGCTGTCTGGCTTTCCACACCCCCATTTGGGACGTAGTGTCATATCGTATTCCGGGCCATTGCTACCGTATGGGTATGCAAAATAAAATGGAAAAAGCGGTGTGAGGAGCCCTAGGCCAAAAAGCAAACTAAAAAAAAAGAATATTGGGGCTGGCAAGAGTATCGTTGCGTACCGGTAACGGTCCGCCGGATGGGTACGATAGGTGGGGCTTACGGTAGGGCTACAGATTTCGAAATAGCTACAAAAGCCCAAAAATTACGGTATGCTTAAATTTACCGTGTCTCAAAAGGCCAAAATATTCAGAAAACTACCGTATCCGCGGTAAGAAAACCATTTTCATCATGTTATTCTAATTTTTATTTTTGCAATTTGTCCAGAAATTATCTTACGCTCTCCACTACCGTAACCCAGCCTACAGTACCTCATCCACCGTTTTTCGGGTTTTTTTTAAAATTTCGTATATGTAAATTTTCTTGTTTTTGGTCTGACTACGGGCACATTCACACGCAACTAACAAGCCGAGGCCGGGTGTGAGAGAGAGAAAAGCAAGCCGGGGCGCGTTTTTTGAGGGCAAATCGGGTGCTTATTTCCCCAATTTTTATATCCCATTTTTCGGTATGCAAATTGGATTGGACTGAAGTGGAGCTATAAAAATCTGGGGGCTCTGAAGATTCTGGATCACTTTAAAGGGGCCGGGAAGCGAAAAAAAATTCGGAAAACTTCAGAAATTTGAATTTTCAAGTTTACCCATTTTTTTCGCTTCACTGCGCCTTTAAAACACAACACCGTAGCCCCAGGGCACACTCTCGGAACCAAAGCCACACCCCCTGCGAGAGAGGAGAGAACCGATTACGCCACGAAAAGCCAGGTAGTCCGGAAATCATAGAAAAAGCCATGGGGGGAGGGCGGGCGTACGGTAGCGTACTGGTAACGGGTGAGAAAATTAGGCAAATTTCGCGAAAGCGGAAGCGAAAGGTGGCGTCTCGTGTAGGGGGGTAGGGGCGGGGCGAGTGGGCAGGGATTTTGGGGGATTTTTGTGCGTGTGTATGGTAATTGGGGGGAACTGAACGGAATCTGGAGCGCCACGCAGCGTACCGTAACGTAGCATTGCGTAGGCAAACGCGATGTTGCGTACCGTCACGTAACGTAACGAAACGTGGCGTAACGAAACGTAGCGTAGCGTCTCGTAACGTACGTGGCGGGCTCTCGAGTTTTTAGGATAAAAAATAATTTAAACGTTTTAATTTTAGTGAAAAATCAGTAGCCGACTGGCTAGTATTCTAGGCTATCAGACAAACGACCCGGGTTCGATTCCCGATCGTGAATTCCTTTGTTTTTCGAAAAATCGATTTTTAGCCTCGTGGCCAAGTGGCTAAGCGTTTATACTGGCAGGCAAACGACCCGAGTTCGAGTCCCGGGCGTGCAATTTGCTTGCGGTTTGGAAAACAAGTTAAAAATTACTTAGAAAAAGTTAACGAGGGCCTCATAGTCAAGTGGCTAAGCGTTTGGGACACCAGGTGAACGACCTGAGTTCGGTTCCCGGGTGTGAAATTTTTTGCTTTTTGGAAAACAGACTGAAAACTACGTAAAAAAGCCCTTCAAAAACCCGAGAGAAGAAACCGAACAGTGTTGTCGTTATTTTGCTGTGTTTTGTTGTCATTTCTGTGTGGGTGTGTGGGGGTGTGTGGGGGATGGAGGGAATTAGGCAACTTTAAAGGGGCGGTGACACACACGAACCAACGGACGATGATGTCGACAGGGACAATACACGCGGACGGGCATTGACGCTCAACGCTAGAGACGGACACGCATCGCCGAGAGGGAGCATATTTTAGGGGTTTGAGGGGGAGTTAAAGGTCCGATATTGCCTTCTTCATAGAATTTTTGGCTAATTTTATATCTTTAAAATTATTAAAAACGTGAATCAATTTTAGCGATTTTTAAGTTTGAATTCCAAATTTCAGATATTGGTTTTGTCATTTTTCGATTTTTCGAAGGCCTAAAACTCGATTTTACCCAAATTAAAGGGATGGGCAAGAAATGGCTTAGGCAAACGCCAAGCCTAAGCCTAGCCTAAGCTAAGCCTAAGCTAAGCCTAAGCTAAGTTTAAGCCAGGCCTAAGCTAAGAACTTAAGTTAGGCCTAAGCCAAGCCTAAGCCTACGCAAAGCCATGAATTTCCTATAGATTCTACCGGGCCGCGACACGCAACGCACGCACCGGTAGACCGCCGCGAAACGGGTTTAATCCATTACGCAATGGAAACCCTGGCACCTGTGTCGCGTGCCGCGGGTGCGGTAAAATACAGAAATCCATAGTTACGCCTTGCCCGTCCCTTTAAAGGGATAGTAACACTGAAAAGACGAGGGGAGACATGCTGGGTGTTTGTGTGTTGATGTGTGTGTCATATGCCAGGGTCGGAACAGGGTGTTTGTGGGGCAACAGGGTGGACTTTTGGACGCGCACACGCACAAAAACACGGAAATTTGGCTGCGAATGGAAAATTGAAGATTTAACGGGAAAGGGGGGATTGAGGAGGAGTGGCACCCGATTTGCGCCTACGGTAGCCGAGGGAGGGAGAGAGGGGTTAGTGCTCGCACACGCCACACAAAACACCCGCCCCCAAACATAATGCCGGTGTACAGAGGAAAGTTGCGGAATGCGGCGCGCGCGGCCGGAACAGAAGAAGCGACGCGCCGGGGGGCCTGGGCACGGGTTTTGGGGTTTATTTAAAGTATGCTACTAAATATAAAAATTCTAGTTGATGTATCGTTATAATGCAAATTTCCTGACTTCCTAATCCCTTTAAACTCGAAAAATAGCAAAAAACGCTAAAAATTTTCGAGTGCGCGGCTTTCCCCGGGTTAAAGGGGCTCCGAAATCTGGTCCACGGGCCCCTGCTGTGATTGCTGGCAAAAAGCCAGATGCGGCCGCAACGTGACCGCGTCGCCTGACCATTTACCCCTATTTGGACGCGAAAACACTTGAATTTAAAAATTCTGATACTATTTTTGGAATCCTCAGCGAATTTTGATCATTCCAGACTTTTGAATTATGAAAATTGGCCAGAGAATCACCGAGATCGAGAGATTGAGTGTCTTACAAGGCATTACGACATGTAATCGCCGCGCACTCAAAATGTCGTTTTCGCCCCGAAAAGAATTCGGTTTTTCTCAAACATTTTACGTTTTTTCGCAATCAAATCACTTTCCTAGCACTTCTCGGCAGGGACCCTATCGTTTTTTGACCCGTAGCTTCAATCCCCGCACGCACGAATTTTGACTTCTGAGCCCCTTTAAAGGTACACTAAAATCTCGTGAAAAAAGTCAGTTCGCGGTCGGAAATCCGTGCACTCTGCCGCGCAACGCCCGGACCCTTCTTATCCCCCTTCCCTCTCCCCTCTCCCGTCTGTCTCATGGCCTAGTGGACTAAAGCGCTCGCCCTAGGCGAGTGGCTCGGGTTCGGTTTTGCTCCGCGGCGAGCACCTACCGTAACCCTGTTTGCTATCCCGCGGAAGGTTACCGGCCGGTAACCAAACCAACGAGACTTTAGTGTACCTTTAAACATCTGTCAGAGGCTTAGGCTTAGGCTTCGGCTTCGGTTTAGCTTAGGCTTAGCTTAGGCCTAGCTTAGGCCTAGCTTAGGCTTAGCTTGAGCTTAGCTTACGCTTATATTAGGCTTAGCTTAGGTTTAGCTTGAGCTTAGCTTAGGCTTAGCTTAGGCTTAGCTTAGGCTTAGCTTAGGCTTAGCTTAGGCTTAGCTTAGACTTAGCTTAGGTTCATGCGTAGGCTACTTATTCTCCTTAAGTTAGGTTTTGCCTTCCCTGACTTCAACATCCCTTTAAAACCCTGTGCCCGGGCGGTCGTGTCGCGTTTAGTATCCAGAAACTGTGATGAATTTTGTGCGAGGTGTTGGTGTGGGTGTGACGGGGTGCAGTGCCGTGTGCCGTGGAAATATATATGAACGGAAACATAAGGGGTGGTGCCAGGGCCAGGGGGCGGGGCTTGGTTTAGTGGGCCAGGTGAGTGGCATGTGTGGGTCGGAGGGGGGCGGTGTTCGTTTTGAGCGGGGAAAGCGGCCAAAAGGGGGGCGGGGCCAGGTAGTTGTTGATGTTGTTGTTGTTTAGGTGGGGGGCGGGGGGAGGGGGGCAACGGGTCGGACAGGGTTGACACTATGCACGAGACTCACCGTCCGCGCCTGCAGAGCGTTCCGGAAAGAACTTTTGTATTAATTATTTCTTATAACGTTTTTTTCGTTGTTTTCCGCTGGATTGACATATTTTTAGGGGGCGGGGCTTCGGATGGCGAGAGAGAGCGAGAGAGGGGCCAGAGAAGCAGAGGAGGGAGGGCGGGGCGGGAGACGAGGACAGGAGGGAGGGCACGTTTTGGGCTCTAGAAATAGCTAGGAGCACCGGATCAAGATGATTTTTGCACCATTAGAAAGCTCTTGAACAGTGTAGCAAAACGCAGGCTTGAAATTCAAAATATTTTAGACATCTATATCAGTAATTGGAGTATTAAGGAAACTCCATAAATTCGTTTAAATTTACAACTTTTAAGGTGCAGATTTTTAAGGACTTTCGATTGATACAAAAATCATTGCGATCGGATATTTTTTAGGGTTTCTGGAGCGCTTTGCAGAATTTCGTCATTTGTAGGTTCCGTTTAGGGCAACATTTGGCCAATTTTGAACGGGAGAGAGATCGAGAGAGAGAGAGAGAGAGAGAGAGATCGAGAGAGATCGAGAGAGAGAGAGATCGAGAGATCGAGAGAGAGAGAGATCGAGAGAGCGCAGACGGCCAGAGGGCGAGGCAGTAGGGGGCGTTCTGGGGTGCAGGGTGGAACGGATATGGATATTGATATACTGTGAGCTCGTCTTCACACAGAGGACATGCCGGGGCAGAAAGAGGGGGGGTACGGTAGAAGTGGGACAACTTTTAGAGGGGGAGCTACAGGGGTTTGAGGAACGGGCGAGCACACACACACACAAACAGACAGGACAGAGTAGTGGGGTGGACTAAAAGGGGGAGGTAGATTTTTAGAAGGTTTAACGAAACTAGTTGGGAGATGATTTGAACGTATGTAAATTCATTAATTTTAGACGTTTTTAAATGGGGTATTTTCTATTTTCTCATCCATCATTTAAATCCCTGAATTCCCATAGTTTAAAGGGATTGGCAAGGCTGGATTCTGCCCCTTTCTAAGCGGCTTGAGCGTTGAGTCCGTCGTGGCACCAAAATCGATAGAAAATCGTGCCTTGACTGCCCCTTTAAGCGCCATAAACTCCCAAATTTGCCATATATGGAAAGCGCGTGCCGGACAGCCATCCAAGATCACCTACAGGGTCGGCAAATGTCCAAAGGAAAATCGGCAAACCGAAAAAAACGATCGAAGCGCGATCGCCGAAAAATTCAAAATTAAAACGGGCCAGCCGGCAAAGGCGGGATGCAAATTTCGGCGCTTTTTTGGGTGCGGCTGCCTCGAAATAAGGGATTTACACACACGCACGCACAGAGTATACACACACGCACACCCGGGGGCTCGAAAAAGATCAGTAATTGTGTATTTTTTGGTTTTAGGCAGAGGGGTGCCCTGGTTTTGGAGGAGTATGGGGGCCTAAGAACAAGCCCAAGCTTAAGCCTAGGCCAAGCCCAAGCCCAAGCCTAAGCCTGAGCCTTAGCCTGAGCCTAGGCAAAAATGCCAAAATGAAGGAGTTTTGCCTTTTGGTGGGGATAGATGGAGAGGAGAAGGAGAAGCGCTGTGGGGGTGGGGAAGAGAGACTGTGGGGAAAGAGGAGAGAGGCAGAGACAAAGGGGGGTGCGCTGCGGTCGACCGACGAGGGCTTCAACGGCCCTTTAAATGCGAAGATATTTGGAATCCATTTTTCTTTTCTATTTCCAAAGCAAAGCAGCCTTTTAAAGCCAACCAAAATAGTTTTAGAATAGGCAAAATACAGGAAAAATTCAGAATTTCGGAAATTCTGGATTTTTTTTGTTTTGCATCGAAGTTTATTCATTGTTTTTCGATAGCCAGCCTCCTTTTTAAGCTATAAACAAAACTAGGGTTCCATAATTTTGATGTCGCTTTTGGGACACTAAAAACTGCCCCAGCTACCGTAACCCCTAGTTTTTTGGTGTCGGTCGCCATTTAAAACAAAAAGGCATAAGATAGCGGGAGAAGGGAGAAGAAAAGGAAGGTGATGGGGCAAGGGTTGGGCGATAGAAAATCTGGTAGAAGGATTTTCGAGGGGGTTTTTGGGGGATTTTAGGACGAGACAAAAATGTTCAATTCATTATCATTCATTCATTATCGCAATCCGATAATAAATATAATGGTAATAACACGGGGTAATATCGAAACAATTGGCCCACCTTCGAAGGTGTCGTCGGCCTCCTGCATCAGCTCGTCGTCAGAGCAAATGTTCAGGATGTGCACCAGCATCTCCGTTACTGCAATGGGTATTTGGTTTTTGAAAAATTTTGGGATGAATTAGGTTGTTTTCTTAATAGCCTTTTTGATAGAGAAAAAATTCTGCATCAAATGAACCAGTTTTCACGATTTTTAACAACTTTTTTAGCTAAATGTCAGACAAGCTTCCAAAAGCGCAACCCCGTGGAATCGCGTGAAAATTCCGACTTTTTCCAATTTACAGGCTTAATTAACGCATTTTTCATTTTTTAAATGAAAGCATTTTGTAGAGCAAAAAATTCTGCATCGAACGAACTATTTTTTATACCTGTAAACAATCATCTAAGATTTTTATTAGCTTTAAAAGGTGCAAGCCGGATTCAATCGCTTAACAATTCCGCTTTTTGCCATTTTCAGTGGCAATTTTAGTAATTTCAATTATCTAAATCACATCATCTTGTAGCACAAAAAATTCTCTATTTTTAGATGCTCTAAAAACCCACCTTTCTCGCCGACAAACGGCAACGACCACGTGAACACGTCCATGAAGTTGGGCAGCCAGTAGGGGTGGGGGGAGCAGTTGAACTGGCGAATGTTCATCACGTTGTTCTCGTATTTCAGGATGGCAGCTGTAAACAAAACATGATTGGTGCGCTACGTTCTTCTACGGTCCTAACCGAAGCCAAGCCTAAGCGTAAACCTCATCTAAGCCACGGCGAAGCGAAGTCTAAGCCTAAGGCCTAAGCCAATCCTAAGCTTTTCTAAGCTAAGCCAAGCTTGAGCTAAGCTTGAGCTAAGCGTAAGCCTAAGCCTAAACCTGAGCCAAGCCTAAGCGAAGCCTACGTGTAAGTCTAAGCTTAAGTTAATCCTAAGCTGAGCTAAGCTAAGCCTAAGCAAGCCCGATCCTAAGCCCAAACCAAGCCTAAGCCAAGCTTAAGCCAAGCCTGGGCCAAGCCTAAGCTAGGCCTAAATCTAGGCCAAGCCTAAGCCAAGCCTTAGCGAAATTCATTACAAAAATACCATTATTTTATTTTAATTCTCCTTTCCAAAAAAACTCACCTTTATTGTTATATACATCAAGGTAATTGGGGGCGCTAAATATCGTAATGAGTGAAGGGAATCCCGTGGCTTGAGATTTGCGGTACATGCGGTACCTGAAAAAGGGCGTATTTAGTGGGTTTTCGATTCCTCATATACATTTACTAGATTTAGAAAAAAAGAAAAATCTGCCTTACCCGGCATCTTGCGCCTCGTGGGCGCGAATAATTGACAGAAGGTTGTTCTGCTGCAGGAAGTCGCAGCAGGCCGCGTAACTGAAAAAGGTTGATGTTTTGCGAAAAATCCCATAGGAATTTTGGTTTCAATAGCCCTTTAAAATTTGCTACGGTTTGGTTTGTTGATTTTACAATGTAATCTACAGGATTTTTTACTTCCGTGGTCCTTTAGAAATATTTACGGTGTAATTTACTTAATTTTTGAGCATAATCTATAGGGTGTTTTGACTTCAGTGGTCCTTTAGGAATCTGGGCTCCATTGGCCCTTTAAAAGTTTTTTAAAGTACCCCTACTTACCTATAGAAGTATGAGCATCCGCGGACCGAGTTGTGGCTGAACTGCTCGGCGTTGCGCTCGTTCCCAAAGTCCTCCAGCGGGTCCGACCACAACAGGTCGCACATTGGCCCGAACGCCGGCGGCTCCTTGAAGCGGTCCAACTAAAACCCCCATTTTAAAGGACCGTTGAAGGCAACCATACCCGTCGAATATCGTCCAGGGTATGGATCTCGGGCGACAGCCCTCCGTGGACGCACAGGAACTGCTGGTTCATCAACGCCGCTAGGGGCAACGCGTCGAACGAGGTCATGCACTCGTCGTACACCCGTTCCGAGTACTTGATCTTGCCTGCAAGGGAGATAATCAGCAGGTTCAAACGACTTCCCCCAAAAAGCAAAAAATTTGCCGCAGCGGGGGGTTGAACCCGGACTATTTTCCTGGAGCGCGAGATTTTTACCAATGCGCTACGAGGTTCGGAGAGGCTGCGATTCGCCCGCATTTTTGCTGCGTTGCGGCCACGTCGCGTGTCGGTAGCCCGAATTAAATGGCGTGTACGAATGGCCAAAGTTCGTGACTAAAGGAAAAGCCCAAAATTAACTACTTAAAATTTGGTCCATTTGCTTTTTCTAGAAACAGTTTAATTTGACGCGTCGCGGATGCGTTCCGTTACGCTCCGCTACACCTGGAATTTCATAGCCTGTACGAACGCAGAAAAATCCAAGCTCGTTCTTGTGAGCCGAAAACTGCGGATTTTAGAGTTTCTGTTCAAGTAAAACACTAGTGTCGACGCGGCGACCCGCGTTCCATGCCAATACCCAATTACATGACGTGTACGAATAAAAAAACGTACACTCCTGCTTGAAGGTGAAATACTCGGTCAAATGCCGGCACTCGTGGTTGCCCCGCAGCAGGAACAGCGTCGCCGGGTAGCACACCTTCAGCGCCCACAGGTACAGCACGCATCTATAATTTAATAATTTACACAAAACGCCTTAATTAAATAAACTTAATATACGCTAGATTTAATGTACGTTATCTAATTTCAGCGCGTAATTATAGTAATATCAAACCGAAAATAACGTACTCGATGGAGAAGTAGCCACGGTCAACGTAGTCACCCAGGAATAAATATTTGGTTGTTGCTGGGGAGCCGCCGACCTGGAAATTGCGTTTTTAAAGGGATGGTGACAGTCGGCAATGCGACCGCGACGAAGCGATTCCACGCGATGCGTTTGCGTTTTTACGCCAGGCTTCTTTCAATGACCCGAAAACCCACATCGAACAACTTCATCAGGTCGAAGAACTGCCCATGAATATCTCCACAAACTGTGACCGGGGCCTCGACGTCAAGCATGGTCTTCTCCTGCTTGAACAGCGCCGTGCAGTCCTGGATGATTCGGATGGCCGTCTCCTCATCTATCCGCCCTTCCTGCAAAGGATTTCGATTAGATTTTAAGGTTTCCTCAAAGAATCTCTGCTAGCCTGCCCTCTCCCATTTCCTCAAAGAAGCTCTGCTAGCCTGCCCTCTCCCAATTCATCAAAGAATCTCTGCTAGCCTGCCCTCTCCCAATTCCTCAAAGAATCTCTGCTAGTCTGCCCTTACCCAATTCCTCAATGATTCTCTGCTGGTTTGCCAATGCTTACCTTGATAAAGTGCTCCTTCAAAACCTCTGGCCGTGGTTTAGTCGTCCGCCGGTCGAACACCTGCTCAATTGTCAGCCGGTCCGAAATCGGGAACTGCACGTCTGAAAAACAACAAATTTTTTCAGTGCCTTTTTTAGCTAAACAGCTTTTTAGCTTCACTGCCTTACACGTCCCTTTAAAACTCCCGGATTCACTCACTCCTAACGATCCGTTCCGAGAATCGATTCTGCGCGTTGCTGTTGGCATTTTGCTGACTCATCGACGTGCTCTGGCCCTGGCTGGCGTCAGTCGGGGCCATAAGATGGGGTGGTGGTGGGGCGGACGGACGGGGAGTACGGACAGGCTGTAGATTCACTCTATTCGTTTCTGTTCTCCCTCGATTAGGTGGTTGAGACGTCCCGGTTGGATGGCGTTTTTCTAGTGTTTAGGTCGGGGCTGTAGTTGTTCTTCTTTCTCTTGGTTGAGTCTCAGCACGCCCACGGCTTACCGAGCATACCTGCAATAATTATCGATTAAAGATAAAGATAGGCGTCAAGTTCAAGGAGTTCAGAAAATTAATAGAAAATGGAAGAAAACTGAATCGAAAGTGTGGAGAAAATCGATGGAAAAGGAGTTCAACCTCGAGCTGAAGGAGTACAAGGAATAGGATAGCCAGACTTAAAACTAGCTTCCCGTCAAGTTCAAGGAGTTCAAGGTTCTATGGAAAATTCGCAGAATTGACAATTTCCGGAAGCGAGTCACCCTTAAAAATTGACTCTTTTCAACGATTGCAGGACAGGCGAATGGAATGATTAAGACAATGAAGAACGAGAGAGAGAGCGAGAGAGACAGAGAGAGAGAGACGGCTCGAAAACAATTGGTAACGACGAGAAAGGCAGCGCGCCGAATTTTTCCGTCGTCACTTTGCGCTATGGCTCAGCAAATATTGCCGGGGCGCTGGCTGGCCAAGGCAAATGGGAAAATGGGCCACTGGAGGCAATATCTGATGGGAATCGCCAGACCGGCAAAGCGAATCGTCAATTCGAAAGGGAAATTATCGGATTTTTGCTTAAATCTTAAATAATTTAAAATAATTCGAGCAACTTTGCATGCAAAAAAAAATAGCAAAAAAAACTTCTCTTTCTTGGAGTTTTATTTGGGAATTAATTCATCTATTTTTGCTCTTAAAAATTCGACAAAACGACCAAAGTTATGTATAAAATAAGCAAAAGAACAAATACATTTTCCAAAAATTTTTGGACATTTCGAAATCGTAAAAAGAGGTCAAGTAACGAACAAGCCAGCTGGGCCCTAAGTCCTCTGGGGGCTTCTGGGCCCTAAGCCCGACGTAAAATAGAACGCAAAAAATAGAACGCTTTGAGCTCCACGGTAATTTTTACAAAGCCAAAATGTGTGGGTACTGGGACCTTTCTGGGCCCTAAGAGAGAATCAACAAGAAAAATCGGTTCTAAAAAGGAGCCATATTAGCTTACCAGGAAGGTGGGACCCAGTAAACCGTAAAAACAGTGGTAATCCTTCCGGGCTGTAGGCCCTTGGGCCACTTCTGGGGGCCCCCCAAGGACAGACAAGACCCTGAGGGGGGGCGAATGATGGCCTTCCAGGCCCGATCGATAGCCCTTCCACACAGCCACACCAACACTGAGAGAGAGAGAGAAAAGAGGGGATCTCTCTCTCCCCGCGGCGAAAGACAAAAGGCGAGAGAAAGGAGCGGACAGCCGAGAGATAGAGGGCAGATAGATAGACAGAAACACACACACCGCCGCCTATCACTACTCCCCCACCCTCAAATGCTCTGTCGTATCTCTATCTCTCTCACTCTCTCTCTCTCCCTCTCTCTCTCTTCCGGGATAGACATACTCCCCGTCGCCTATCAATTCCATAAAAGAGCCACACACATCACTCGCAGTTTCTTGGTTGGTTTGAATGAAAACTAGCAGAGATCATTTGGGATCGGGATTGGCGGATTGCACAGTGGAGAGCGAGAAAGAGAGCGAGAGAGAGAGAGAGAGAGAGAGAGAGAGAGAGAGAAAAGTTCATTGCAACGCGGGATAGTGAGTGCGTGCATGAGCAAGAGATCGTGCAATGGAGCGCGAGTTACAGCGAGCAACAGAAATTATTTTTTACTTTTTTGATTTAGCTATCTCTCTGTCATAAAATATAACGCTGCTGACACCTCATTCTCCTGACAGTGGGACCTGCCAAGAACACCAAAATTCCCGAAACCCAGCTCGTGCTCCCGACTTCGTTAATAAACCCAAAATTGCTCGAAACAGGAGCGCCAGATCAATTTTTTGGGCTTCATATTTTTTAGGGGCCACCGCTTTTAAAGGGACCGGCACACAATAAAGATAAGAAAGCGGAATTTAGGGGGCTGGAAGGGGATGGTGGGATTTCCGTCGGAATGACTGGGGCTGACTCGTCGGTTTGTGCTCTCTCTCTCTCTCTCTCTCTCTCTCTCTCTCTCTCTCTCTCTGTGGCTGGGTGGATGCGGTAAACAATGGGGGTACACAACTTTTTCTCAAGGAGAAGGCTTGAGGGAGAGGGAGAGAGAGAGACAGAGAAAGACAGAGAGAGAGCGCGCGAGAGCGAGCGAAAGAGACTGTGAGGGACAGTGAACAATTTGGGATTTTCTGCGGGCTTGAAGTTGGATTTTTGTAGATTTTTTAGTAGCTAGAGCTAGAAGAGAGAGAGAGAGAAAGAGAGAGAGAGAGAGAGAGAAAAGAGAGAGAAAGGGGCGAGTGTGTGTGAGAGCGAGAGAAAGAGAGAGAGAGAGAGAGTGATAGAGATAGTGAGAGAGAGAGAGAGAGAGAGAAAGACGAAAATCTCTAATGACGTGAGGCCCCGAATCGGGCTCCCCTCAACTTTCGCCACCCTCGACCGTATCCACCCAGCCCCAAATTTGCACCTGTCGGTGGCCCCGAGGCCTAAAAAGTGGCCCAGGGCCCTCCCTCCACAAAATATGGCCAGGGCCCACACCCAAAATCCAATCAACCGGATTAGTGCCCAAGGGGGGAGGCAAGTAAAGGGGGTGTATGGCCCAAGGGACAGCATGCCAGACATGGGCCCCACACCCCTAGTCAGAGCCGGGGGGGAATATGTTGAGTGGGGGGGGCAAGCGGGCGGGGAAAGGGCCCAAAGGGACCCAAAAAGGGCCGCCCCAATTGTCCGGCCGGGTTGGGTGGGTCCCCAGGCTGAGGCCCTGGGTCCTACAGTAATTAGGGTTTTTTTTGGGGTATGAGGCACTCTCGCTGATGAGAATCACCCACACAGGATCTCTGTTCCGGGCGCTCCTATTGCCGGGCGCATTTTAAAGGGGCATGACAGCTAGAGAAGGCCATTAAATCCGGCTTTAAAAATTCTGCGTCGACTTTAAAGGGACCATGACACCGAAATTTACCTGGTAAATACGGATTTAAGAAATTCTGGTAACCATCGACGATCTCCGAGGCTTGTCAATGATGCGCGTGGGAAGGATGTTATCGGCGGGCTAATCCCGGGATTTCCGGTTGGGTTCCGGAAATGGGCTGGCTCGGCTTCGGGGGTGGATTCCGGAGGGTGGAGGGAGCAGAAGCGGTTAAGTGAAATCTGAATTTTTATCGTTCAGAGATCGAAACCGAGGGGTCGGGAGGCTTGCAGAGATCCTTGAGGATGCAGGATCTGGGGGCGGGTAGCAGCGATCTATCTGGAATTTGGGCCGCTTTTGACAATCTGGCAGTGATTTTCGGGAAAATTGGCCTGATTCGGGGCAGGCTAGCAAAGATCCTGGGGGAGCGCAGTGCCCACACTTTGGAGGTAAACCAACAGAGATTCTTTGGGAACGAAAAACGCCAAGCCCTGATTTTTTTGGAAATTAAACCGTTTGGGATAGGCTAGCAAAGATTCTTGGGGAATTCAGATAGTCCAGCAGAAATTTTTTGAGTATTGAGGCAGTGGTGGGCAGGCTCTCCGAGATTCTTCAGGAGTCAAAACCGTGCATGGCACGCTAGCAGAGATTCTTGTGGAGCTCAGGCCGCGTACTTTCGAGGCAATTCAGCAGAGATTTTTTGAGAGTTTCTGCAATTTTCGTCAGGCGTAACTATTTTAAAGGCGCCAAGAAGTCAAATTTTCCGGTTTCACTTTTCTTTCGATTCCGCACAAAAAGCCTACAGTAGAAATCCGCGGGGTGGGCACTTTCCGAGTGGGATGGCCGTAAAGAGGAGCGCGGCGTAGTGGGTGGGGGGGGGGGGGGAAGGGGCCGATTAGTGGGCGGATTAAAGGGTTTTGGAAAGGAGGAGGGGGAATGGAAGATTCTACGCTCCACTCCTCACCCCCACCGTCTTCATCTCCGCATCCGGCTTAAGCCCCCCTCCCCTCGAATCAAATCCCCCCGGATTTCTGCGGCGTGAAGCCCCGCCCGCCACCGTGGGCAATTTTCATAAAATCCGCGGCGTCAAGTTGAGCCCCCGGTGACGTCGTGCTACATTTCTGCCGAGCTATTTTTAGGTTTAGGCAACTTAAAGGGGCCTGTAGGTCAAAAAGCAGACAGAAACCACCATGGATTTCAAAGGCAAGCTAGTAGAGACAAGCGAAAAATTGTTTACGCTGCTTTCCACGAAACTTTCTAATTTTCGGTGCCTTTGTGCGCTTTTGAAGGGACCGAGAAGTGAGCTACTCGCTATGGATCTGAAGGGCAGGTGAGCAGAGACCGTTTCGGACTCAGGGAAGGGACTGAACGTTACGTTGCGCCCCGCTACAAAGTTTAATTTCCAGAAAAAAAATTAATTATGGATCTGGCCCTCAACTCTACTGCAAAATAATAGAGTTGAATCTTATGGTATGTAGCAATGCACTAGAAACGTCACGCCACATTACACTACGGTACGCTACGTTAAGCCACCTTGCGCTAAGGTGCTCAACGTTAGGCTACGCATTCCGCAAAGTTACGCTACTTTAAGCTACGTTACACCACATTGAGCTACGCTATGCACTGTTGCGCGACGTTGCGCTACGTTAAGCTACGTTACGATACGCGAAAATAGGCCTCGCTTGATTCATTACGCTATGTTATCCTAGTTTAAGCTGCGTTTCGCTACGCTAAACTACGCCGAGCTATATGCATTACGCTACGTTATCCTATTTCCTACGTTACGCTACGTAACGCGACATAACGCTAAATTACGCTACGGTACGCAACGTTGCGGTACGTTACAATACGCCGGGCTATACGGGTCACCCTACGTTGCGCTACGTCCGACTACGCATGGAGCCAACGATTAGGGTAAATATAATTGCGTCCCGGTTAAAATAATTGTAGTCTTC